AAAAAAAAAAAAAAAAAAAAAAATCATAATTTTTTTCATTTATCACAACTTTGGTTTGGACTTGGTCAGAAATGCAATATTTGCTTTATTTATTTATTTTATTTTTATGAACGACACTCCAGGTTTTTGGTCCCTATACCAGGGTCACTTCCAGTGGCTGTTATTAATAAAACAGTAACAACTGGCTCTAGTTTCGGTCCCTACTTCAATGAATTTATGGGCAAGTGCAACAACCACCCAAAATGAGTTTTCTGGGAGCAGAAATGTTCCAAAAGCCCTGTTGTGCTTGATCCATCACAGAAAGCAAATCAGCAGACACAGACGGTTTTCTCAGATGCAACCCACCACAGCGTCAAAGATACAGTAGGACATAAAGTGTGAGCAGTTGGTTCTGCATTCCTTGATTTCATACAAGCTGTAGTAGTGCTGCTTCCTATGATAGATATGGTGTGATACTAGCCTGATGCAGCAGATGTCCATGCGCTGATTATGTGGGGCACAGAGCAAGGAGAGTGGCTTTCCTGTTCCAATAGTTCAGCAGGGCTTGTGGCAACAAGGGAAGACAGCTCAGTTCACAGTCCCATTGCTGTAGTATATTAAGGAGGGGGGTGGGGGGTGNATATTCTGGCAGCACTAGTATGCAGATTTTGTAGTTTATGTCATGAAATCAACATCCACCACACTGCTGGATCGTGGATACAGAGGAACTGAACAACTGGATTTGGTTATTTATGTAAACATTTAACATTTCTTAATTGTTTATTCAAAGATTCCTGTATTTTTCAACCAGGGTCTTATTCTCATAATTTGTTTTACAGAATTACATCTTATGAGCAAACATGCACAATTGTACCTATGGTTAAGCACAAAATACAAGTTAGATATTCCTTAACCAGAAAACCTGACTTCTATGTAGTTATTGATAGAACAACATAAACATTAGTTTCTCCAGTGGCCACACTTTGGATTTTGCTGCTGTCTTTTTCCTCACCTGTCGTACTGAGGAGGGGGGCTCATGCTGGTAGTTTGAATCTCAGGCGCTGCTTCTAAGCCTGAAGGACTACCAGAACCAGCTGGAAGTGCCGGCCTACTAACAGACGTGTCGTACACAAAGTCTCGACAGGATGCCAACTTGGACTCCAGATTCTGGTAGGGATTTTGAAAAATATCATCAGTCAGCTCATACATGCAAAACCCAAACCTGTAATCATACTATTCCATTAAAGCACAGTTCTGTGAGGATAAATTCACTTGGAGCTACAAAAGTATTATTATTAAATGTCTTACTCCAACTTTTCTCAGCAGCTCCCCTACAATGTTGAGTGCAGATATTCTAGCAGACGTAGTGAGGGGAGTCCCTGTTAGACCATCACCTAAAACAAACCCAATGTGAACACGTAAACACATCGTATGTTAATACAAAGTTGGTATATCTACTAGAGTAAATACAGGGGTAAAATTGAATCTATTCACCTCGCCGGATGCTGGAAGCAGGGGGTGTGACAAATGAGCTGAGAGGTTTGGAGGGCGTGACAGGGAAGGATGGGTTACCAGCCGAGGGACACGGCAGATCTGCTCGATCTGTGTCTTTGCCCAGGCTGCTGGATGGACGTCTTTCCTTCTGACGCACAGCCAGCTCCTGGCGAAGATCTGCCACAAACAGAGAAACATACAGATATACCTGTGAGTCAGCTTTTCATTAATGACCAAGATTCCAGTGCCACGTGTTTAAAAAACAACAACAACAACAACAACAACAACAAAGGTTTCCACTACACTCAATTTAGTACAAATATTAAATTACATACTCAAAACTACCTGAAACAGGTAATCCATTATGTCACATCAGCTTTGTACTAATACAATGCACACATTTAAAAATCAATCAATCTGAAGTAAAAACTGCATTTCCACAGATTAATAATGCAAGTATCCTGTAACATCAAGCCAATGTCAGAGACCTAGCTCAGTAAAAGTCTGCTGTTAAAGACACACTTGAGCACACCCCAAGGTCTACATAAAGCCAAGGGCCAGGTGACTGCTGACATTCACATTCTGCACAAATCTCTAGTCTATAATTTGACTCCAAAAAAAAAGGAAAGACAGAAACCAACAATCTGATTCCTTCTGACCACTAAAAAATACCAATTGAGAATACGGCTAATAAAAAGATGCCGTTGACAGTAAGATTTGCTTTTCTTTGCCCTGTCATTGCCGGCAGAGGCAAAAAAAATGAGACAGTGTTGCGAGTCGTCGCTGACTGCCTCTATCACCAATTCAACATGCTCATTCAACTGAAAAGCCAGTGATTATAGTTGACTAGTGCAAACTGCGACAGATGCACAGCTAAAATGATAAGCCACAGATGGTCAGACACAGACCCTCAACAACAGCCCAATGGCATCTGATGGCCAAATGTTTGTGGGTGGGCAGCTGACGTCAACAATAAAGGCAGATATGATGTTCAGTGTTCAGAATTAGATTTATTTTTGTAGTGTTAGCTGAAAAGGAGGGGGGATGCTCTTAAGTTTGTAGACACTCTTTATGCCTGAGAGAGAGAGAGAGAGAGAGAGAGAGAGAGAGAGAGAGAGAGAGAGAGAGAGAGAGGGAGGTAAGAAGGGGCTGACTGAATAAATCAATGCACTGTGTGCAGCTCTACAATGACAAAAAATTTTACCCATTTGAAATAGTAAATACTTTAATGCTGGGCTGCCACAAATTAATCAATGTATGTGAAACACTGATGTTTACTGTGATGGACAACCGTACTTAAGTTAATTTTCTTTCCACAGTGAAATTAATGGAAAGCAGCAGCTGTCTCCAAAGATGAAAAAACACAATTCAAAATCATAAAGTATATCTTACCAATATTAAATAGCTAAAACATGTAAAAACACTGGTTTAGACCTTTAACTTTCTAAAGCCCCTTTTACACTGTACAAAAAAACCCGCTAACATCTGGCTTTTGTCATCAATGTGAAAGGGTACAATTAGCATTCAGGCCCTGTTCAAATGACTCTGCAGTCTGCAGCAGCCACAGGTATTTAGCTCCAATCAGCAGTGGTGTAACCATGACACCCAGGTGAACAAACTAATTTTCACCCCTTTTCCATGCAGGGACGTCTTTCTGAGCAGAAACACTGTAGACAGACCTGTCACCTGCCCAGCACACTGCTGCTGAACCAGAAACACTGTGGCTACACCTTCTGCGGAGAGTGAGCTGCACTTGGGCCTGTGCTCAATATGTTTTAAGAAGCACCAACCCAGGGATGAGACATGACATTTTATCTAACTTTGGTGTAAAAAGTGTATAATGGGGTTAGATGGTACAGACATATACTAGAATACAACTGCGCATAGATCAGGTACTAAATACACAGGAAGGATAGACAGGGCATAAATAGACAGTCTTGAGAGGCTACAGTGAGTGTACATTTGTGTGTATACCTCTGGCTTCATCCTTGAGCCTCTGAACAGACTCAAGCAGGTTTTCCTTCTCATCCAGCTCGCTTTCAAGAAAGGCATTCCTCTCAATGACTTGGTTCATCCGTTGCTCAAAGTCCTCCAGAGACATGATGGTAGCCCTGGGATAAAACGAGAGGATAGGCCAAAAAAATCTTAACAATCATTGTGTTTATAGACTTTGCATTCTTTGGTCTAACTCTATATATGCGTATGTGCACCACAGTCAAAGTCAGCCAGTTAGTTAGTCATTTGACAATTAAGTGAATTGGTGTGATAACGACATAAGATTTCTTAAGACACTGACCTTTTGGTTCTCTCCAGGTCATCATTGGACTGCTCAAGTTCTCTGATGTATTTCTGCAGGTGATCTCTAACTGCTGTGGTTTCTGCCAGATCTTCCTCCATGGCTGAGATGTGCCTCAAAGCGTCAGAATGCTGGGACTCAAATTTTTCCTGTAAACAGCACACAGGCATCAAATTAACTGACACTGACAATGTCAGTTTTGCTGTGTCATGGCAGATTATAAGCCAATGCAGCGGCAAGCACATTTTAATGAAGGGTCTGTGTATTTATTTGGACAGTGGGTAAAGCAAACATCCTACTGAATGTTCTTTCTATGCTTCCTTGTCCCCAACAACCTCTCAGCAATCAGGAGTTTTTGGCACAATTCTGTGTTCATTTCTTCCACTAATGTTCTCTTCCCCAGTGGACCACTGAACAAAAATAGCAATCAGCTGCTTTATAGCTAGGCAGCAATTTTTCTAGTGGCAGTGGCAATGATATGCTGAATTTGGGCTGGCTACAAGCTGTCTGTGAGTGTGGGTGTGTCTGTCTGTTTGTTTGCTTGCTTGCTTCTCTGTCTGAGAGATGATAACATCTTTATTGGACATCACTAACTGGAGCACCAGAGTACTTCCCAGCTCTGTAGGAGCTAAGGCCTATTTATAATCAAGGTGCTCTACCTTTATGTTTTCCAGTTCCATGCGAAGTCGGTTGTTATTCAAAAGCAGCTCTTTGTTTCGACCCTCACACTGCTTCAGCTCTGTTTCCAGTTCTGCTTCATAGTCTCGACTCATCTGCTGAAACTCCTGCAGCTCCTCTTGAGACTCTTCTGCCCTGATGACAAAAAAATGTTTCACAAGTCACAAATGTTTCCATGCTATATGACATGTATATAGCTAAAGTTTAAGCCTTATATTGTTACCTTTGCTGATGTCTCTCTGCCTGCTCCTTCCAGAAGCCCAGCTCCTCTTCTAGGGATGCAAACTTGTGTGTTGTTGGCTCCACCATGTCTGCTCTGAGTCAGGATGATGGGGATGGGATACTTAACTACAAAATAAATCATATTCGAGCCTTTACTGCTCTTCTCATCTGCCATAAGACCACGTACATCCTTATAATTCAACAACACCAAACTGTTGTCGTTGGCGAATGCTAACTAGATTAGCTAAAATAAGTCACCGCCACCATGCATTTTGTCACGGAATACGAAGGCTGAGACAAGTAATGACTACGTAAATATGGTTTGTGTTTATTTCTACTGAGTAATAAAATATGAAAACGGGAAGTGAAAGCGCTGCTACCTTTTAAAGCTAATAGCGGCGTTGTACACTGCACATACCTGGGCTAAGTTTTTCAGCTAAGCTAATGTAGCTAGCTAAGCGTCTTAGCCAGAATGTGTTATCCCTAAACAATGATAAACAGAAACAAAGCAGACTCACCTGAATACAAGGGAGCGATTAAAACATACTACTGCTAATGGAATGGATTTCGAGATAAGGATAAATTTTCCGGATTGAGCAACAATTTCTGTAACTTAAAACTAATCTCTTATTCCGTTGTATTGCAACGGTGCTTGACTCAACAACCAAATATAAACGAGGCTTCGATTCTCGGGTGCCATTGGACAACGCAGATGACGTAACACAAAGATTATCCAATCATATTATTCAAGGAACTTGTAGCTGCGGAAGGCGGAGCAGCCAAAACTACTGTCCTCTGCTGTTGTCTAATCGAGCTAAGAATTGATGTCTGAAGTTTTCATGCAAACTAGTGGAAGTAAAAGGTAATACTTGTTTTTGATTTCAGTTTTGTAAGGGTTTGTAATATTTCCTTCATCATCATCACTTACAGATATAGAGGAGCAAAATAGAAACACTACAATGCAATTCAAGTCAAAGTAAATCCTCAGTCTAACAGACTCAGATCAAGTCTCAACTAAAACTGAACTTTAGATACATCATATTTATTTAAAGACAGTTACTTGCATTACATTATATTGTACAGATGTTTCTAGTTTAGTGGTCACAATTATTTTTCCTGAATTCTGTATGTTTGACAAAGAGAGTGAAATTGAATTAAATCCCTTAGGATAACTTTCCTGTACTGGGTGCATATTTGGAAATGCTGATTGGATGAAAGTAATGGGGAACTATTGGAATGATGAGGGGAAAACACTGGAATGTCCTCTACATCAGGTATGAATGATTTTACTATGCATGTTTTTCATCTCATCCTACCCAGGACAAGTTTATGAAAAAGTTAGGAAAACATTAGTATGAGGATATTGTATATTAATGTTTAGTGTTTTATATATATATATATATAATATTAGTATCTAAAGGTTGGCAATGAAATGAAACACCTCATATTGATATAATTAAGAACAACATTCTTTAATTGTATAAGGGCCCATGACAACAAGGAGGACCATACCTCTGACAGTAACCGATAACTACATTTTATTCCCTGAAAGAATATTCATTCATCTTTTATGTAAAATGCTGAGCTGCCATCAGTTTGGACAACCCAGAGTCTTGTTTGACTTTCAACATGTACATACAGTAGTCTACTGTTGTTAAAATCACATTTACATACAAATAACCACATGCTTTACAGTCCAGACAAAGGTGCTCCAGCAGTACTAATAATACCTAACAATTCATGTTTATTTTAGGATTACTTTGGATGGAAAAGCATTCACCAATCTCTACACCTTATTCCTACACCTAGACTATAAATACATCTAAGCCCAGTGTTCAGAAACCTTTCTCATTTTAACACAACCTGGCAAATTAATGTACAGATTTCAGTCCAAGGAACATGGCTTCTATTATAAATAATGATTGCAAGGCATTTCAGAAACCTGAGAAAGGTAACATGTACAACAGAAAAATGAGACATAGGAATTTAATTTCAGGGTTATCACATATATTAAAAATAAGACTCAATTTCACCTAAAAAGTGAAATATCTGTTGGCCAAACTACACAATGTGTGAATGAGTATAGGCCACCTCTGTTTTTCTCTTTTTACACTGCTGTAGGTCAATACATGGGCAGCAATTAGGTTAAAAGTAAGTGCACAGGGTTTGCTCCCACTTCTTCTTCTCCATCACAGCAGGGTTTCACTTCATCAGGTCAGTTATTTATTAACAAGGCAGAGAGATCTGGAAGAAAATCAAACAAGTTTAAGTTGAAATCCACAGTATAGTCGATTGATTACACTGACGTCAGCATGTATTGTGCTGCTAATTTCACTTGAACAAAACAGAGTAAATGTGCTTCTTCACCTTATAGGAATCATTCTTCAGCCATATTCGTTTTTTTGTTGTCCTTGCGTTGGCACGTCTTCTTACTGTCTAAAACATCAGTCTTCACCTGACCCAGAGTTCGTAGCAGGCACATGGTGTCAAACCCCTCATCACCAGCCTCTTGCAATAACTCAAGCACCTGTGAATAAAACATTTCAACACCCTTTTACAAAAAAAAAAAAGCAACAGCAAACACAAGCGGCATATTTTAACCACCATGCTAGACCTACAGTATCAGCTCTGTGACCCACCTGCAGACACTTAAAAGATTTGAGTTCACTCAGGTTCTCCTGCAGGAACAGCAGATAGATACTGAGGTCGTTGTAGAAGGGCGTTACCACACCCAAAGCACCAAATCCTGGCAGCATCTCATAAGGCCGGAGGAAGTTGGAGCTCTGACGCGCTGGTCCAAGAGCAGAATACACCACCAGCGGGGCTAGAAGCACATACACCCCCAGGTTGATGTAACTGAGCAGCCTGAAGACACCCACTGCTACGAGCTTGCACTGGACCGCGGACGGCACCATGCTGTCGTTCTTCAGCACTCCTGTCCGCAGGTCACAGGGAAACTCATCGGTGAAGGAGGCCAGTTGGATGTAGTAGCCAAGGTAGAGGCAGGCCAGCAGGAGGATCAGCAGGGTCAGGCCCCGGCAAGCCAGGTACTTGACCACAAGGGAGTGAGAGAAGCGCTTGGTCTTCAGATACTGCTCCACTAAAGGGTATTTGAAGCAGCCCTCAGTCAGGTCCAAAGCACTGTTGCAGAATTAAGGCAGATGGGCATTTAGCACAAAATAAAGTTCAGTTCTTTTGAAATGTACACCACACCATCTCCATAAAACAAGAGAAACACCTGACTCTGAATAAGAATAAGACAATTTTAAGCCCCTTCGTGAAGATTTTTGGTAATTATAGCATCTTTCAAAATATTCTGATGGACTATGGTTTTGTAGAAATTTGAGATATTCCTGGTGCTGCAGCACCAGTCTTGTAAAGGGCAGTACAGTAAGCATTGCTCTCTGTCACTGTATCCTCTTTCACACTACCACTGGGTGGCACCAAAGAGAGAAAATGTCCACTCTATGGACCATTTTAACATCATTCAGCTAATTGTTTGGTTTTTACAGCTTGCAACAGTTACTTCACTGTTTTGGTTCAGTCTCACCACTCTCATCAGGGGGGGAAAAAAAACTCAGAAACACATGACGAACAGCATGGACTACAATACTTTTTTACATGTAGTGTACTATATGTAAACTGTAGACCATCATCTTCAACATGTCGACAAATCACTCACAGGAAGCATTAAAAACACTTTAAATTAAAGTAATTGCTTTTAAAATAAATTGATGTTATTGTCACACAATCACATGTCTAAGAGGGAAACGGTAAAATTGGTGGCAGGTGATTAAATGGTGTTTACCTCTGAGTGTCCTCGGGTGCATCCTTGCAATCTATGGATGCCAGATTTTTTGCCAGTCTGATGGCACGATTATAAAAGCGGTCTAGCTCCTCCATGATGAAGTTGAGGTCAGAGGATAGGTGCGGAGCTGCAGTGAAACGCCAGAACAGGGCCGGGATGTACATGAGGATGGCCAGTAAGAGCAGGATATATGGAAAGAACTGAGTCAATCACAGAAAGGGGGGTGGGGGTGGGGGTGGTACAGAACAGAAGAACAACAAGTCAGATTAAGAGGACTAAGTCAAACTTTGATTTCTGGAAACTGTTCTGGATACTTCTAAGTCTTAACAGTATGAAGTCATTCCACATGCAAATGATCAAACTCATCAAACTCATCATTCTCCCTGGCAGTTGCTGAGGTGACGTCGGTACCTTGTGCAGCCATAGTGGGGAACTGTCAGCTTGTTGCTGCACTGCAGCCCAGCAAAATGAGTCCACGTATGCGGCCTGTCTCCAGGAGAAGTTAGTGGGAGCAAAGCAGCTGATCTGGGTACCTGGAGGATGGAAGTGAAGAATCAGTCACAGCTGACTGGTATGACTGCATTTTGGTAAGTCAGCACAAAGAAACAAACACTGCAACAATTGTCATTGACCCTCTTCTGCACTCAGGGCCTAATTTGATGTTTTCAGCGTACTTTGTGTCAGTAATTATGCCATGCCCTATTATGGTGGGGGGTACAATAGGAAATTCAGTCAGGAATGTACAATTCACAAATGACCCAGATAGTCAACAGACAGTGATATTTTGGCAGCACGAAGCTGTCATATATAAGAACGTGTGACAGATTGATGGTTTAAACAAACACAAAGCACATCCTCACAGCAGAAATTCAGTTTTCTGGGTGTTTTCCATTTATGACATATAGTCCACCAACTATCAGTTATATCAACTATAGTATCAGTCACAGTAATATCAGTTTTATTAAATATCATATAATAATAATAATAATAATAATAGTAATAAATATATTAATATATTTGGTTTGAGCACAAGTGAAACATTCAGTTTGCCATTATACTGAGAAAAGCATCAAATTACACACTTGGGAAGATTTTTGCTTCAAAATTTACTTAAATTATTAACTCATTATGCAAATAATTGCTGATTAATTTCAATCAACTAATCAACTAATTTCATCAGCTAATCGTTGCAGCTCTAATACTTGCCGTCAACACTCAGACTTCAGTTTGCTTAACTTATAATATAAATGTAATGTAATATACGGGATGTGGAAAATGATCTGCTGAATTGCTTTACAAGTATTTTCATACATTATTTTGATATGGCTAATTATTTAATTATCTAATTTATCGTGTCTTGCTGCCACACTTCAGTCTGATGTCTCTGGTGTTTTGTATAATGTATGAAATCAAGCAACATCCTCTTTTGTGCCATAGGCCTTTTTCACTGAAAACATCTGGATATGTCGCAGTAGGAAAAGCACAGGTGTAAAGAATTAAATTAATGACGGCTGAATTCCATTTAGCTGCTTAGGTTTCATGTCTCATGGTCAAACTGTCATCACTTACTGGGACACTTGAATGGAGACATAGCTAATGTTATTAATAACACATGTGCTTTAGCCACAATGACAAGTCGAAATGTCTGCTGTGAGGAAAGCCGATCCACAGACCTTCCTCTTACTCTCAGTATCTCTCTATTAGTGGTTGATGTAATGTATTTCATAGGGAAAATCAATGTGGGATTATGGCCATAATGTCTCTCTTATAATGTCTTGGAAGCACAATAAAAGATCTCTCTCGCTATCCTGTCTTAGTATGTCTAGCAAGGCGTCACCAGTAGCAGATAATGAAAACAACAACAGACTGTGGGTGTTGTGGCCTATGAAGATTATGTAGATTTGTTGAACTGCTAGTGGAGCTGAGTATATCACCTTCTGTTTAATTGTGTAACACTAGTCCATATGGCACCAGCTTATCTATAGATAAGGTCGCGATTACATGTAGAAGAGTGTGTCAGTATGTGAAGCTGCCCAAAGTTCCCATCATCATTATCAGCAGCTCCAGCAACAGCTGTGTGTGGGTGACTGTGTGTCTGGACGTGAGAAAAGCAGAAGGGTGGAGAATGAAACCACACCTTCTCCAGCATCCACACCTCTTTCTGTGTCTGGACATTTACTGAATCCCGTACATATACATATCACCGTGCCTCATCCATCCACCACAGCATGTAAGAGTGGTTTTCATTGAAACAAATGTACTATAGCACTTATTGTGTAGCCGAGGGAGAGACAAAGAAGTTCCTCCAGGATCTATGTTGCCTCTGTTTTTATTCCACATGGTGGAATTCAAAGGATTATCAGCTAAGATGATGAAGGCTACCTCTCAGAGGATGCTCACAATTAGTAACAACTCACCTACTGACACCTCTTGAGCGAAAGCGAGCGAGATGAGAAACAAAGGCAGCCCCACCGCTAGAAATGTGACTATTTTGTCCACCGCCAGCTCCAGACGCAGCCCTTTGTACTTCGCCTCCGTGGGGTCCTTCAACAAAAAATCGGAAAAAACGTACTCCGTGGCTACGTGGGCAATCGCCATGACGGACGGGAACAAAAAGCCGGTGTTGTGTAGTAATTGATGGAAAAGTCAGTTTCTTTTCAATAAACCAAAAGCGAACTGCGTCTGAGGTTGAAACTAGTGAAAGAGTCCCCGCTGTGGAGAAATGTACATAATGTATAAAAACACGGAGCCGTTATTGTTTACCCATCTCCATTCACTACTGGGACTGATGGTTGAACCTGCTGTCCCGTAACTGTACCCCAGACCTCACGGACAGCAGGGAGGAGCGGGCTGCCTGCCAGCCGCCAGGGGGCGCCGCTGAGCCGTTAAGCGCATCTAAAGCCACAAAGTGTACACAAGTCAATTCATTTTTATTTATTTCAAGTAGGTTGAGTTTCTAATTAAATTCGTTTTAAAATTGACTTAGCTGGTTCTGATCTTTCACTTTTTATCATCATTTCAATCAGTAGTGCAGGAAGTATCCAGGTGTTCAATAAAAGTTTCAATAACCACCCAATAAAATTTCTGTGATCCTTTTGGACTATTATATCATTACATTATAGAACTGGGTCATTTCTGATGCATTTGGTCGAGGCAGAGTTCATTTTGATGATTTTAAATACTGTTGCATGGTTTAATCTGCAACAAATAATTGTGTTATAAAGTTATCATACCGTATATGTTAATGCTTGTTTTGTATGAAAATCTGAAAAGAATCTAGTAACTAGCTGTAAAATGCAGTGGGAAAAGAGTACATTATTTCACTGTGTTATATTGTGGAGTAGTACATAGAAGATTAGTATGCTTTTAGTTAGTAATTAGTATTACTTTTAAGAAATTGTAAAATATGTCCAGCTCAGAGAAAACCTCAAATACCGGGGTATTTTATCCAATGGTGAATGATCATCTAAACAAATGTAGAAGATGATGAACTGCTACAGAAAAAAAATCTCATTGAGTAGAGTTACTACACGTTGTCATTTTAACCTGGAAAGGTGCGTCCATCTGAAAACAATTCACATCATGGAAAAGGTCCAATGATCATTTCTTGGGACACATATCTAGAGGTTAAATAAACATATTGTCATAGATATATTATTGATCAAATGCAAAATTATAAACTGCAAATTCAATGTACCAAATGTATGCACTCAAAATGATTATTACAAACTTTAAATTGATCAAATAGATGTTTTTTAGTATATTGCAGCTCTAAATAAAAAAAATACATCTTTTTGTAAATAACAGATTATTCAGCATGCAGGTCCCGTTTATCTTTCAATAGATGTAACAATAACATTTGCGACAACCGTGCTCGCTTTCTGGCAGACTTATGTTACAAAAAGGTGCAGGTTTCCAGGGAGACAGACAGAGGGGAACGGAACAGTCCTTTGAGGAAGATGTGAAAGACGAGACCTTCTCAGGTATCTAAATAACAGCTCAGGAAATTTTGTCCGCTATTACCGAAAAGTTTTTTGTTACCTAAAGACAATGAACGGCAGCATGTAGGGGCAGCTATGTGTCTGCTAAACAAGCTATGTAACGTTAATGGTTCCTGTTGTTAGCTTAAATGTAACGCTAGCTCCAGCCAAACAGTTGACGTTAAATTGGCTAATTTCAGTTGTAGCATAAAGCTAGTTGAATAAGCGAGTATTCCGCCATAAACAATGGTTCATACACGTAGAGAGACGACGGTAAGCTAGCTGCTTGTTGGTTCGCTTTAGTAAAACATAACTGCGGCGTTTGTTAGCCTCACATGAACAGTCCAGACTTGCCAAGTTTGTAAACGTTATGTACACAGGTTTGTCCCCTTTATTGATTTTTTTTCACGAAGCTGTGTTGAATTAAACGCATTTTCACGACCAGACCGTTGCTGTAATAGATGAGTCAGTAAGGACTTTAAACATGTGTTTCACTTCATTGTGAACTAATGACCTCGCCAACGGTTAACTTTCGTTTCATCTGACTAGGAAAGAATGAGAGAGAAGAGAGATGAAAGTATGGTGAAAGATCTCTCTGGGTTGTATGATGGAAGGACTGGGAAAGGAGAGATCCATATGCAGCGCTAGTCCCTTCCCATGGCTCAGTCACCCCAAAACAGAGGCCTCAACCCTGCTATGGAAACTCAAAGACTGCTTCTCCACCACTGAGACAACCACCCCTCATCATACAGATAAAGAAGTAGGTAATTACAGTGGCAAGAAAAAGTATGTGAACCCTTTGGAATAACCTGTTTTTTTGCATTGATTGGTTATAAGATGTGAACCGATTTTCATCTAAGTAACAGGTGTAGACAAACGGTGTCTAAGCTAATATCACACAGACAACTTTGATATTTTGTCTCTTTTTTTGAACACACCCATTAATTATTCACCGTGTTGGTGGAAAAAGTAGGTCAACTCTTGGATTTAATAACTTGTCAAACTTCCTTTGGCACCAATAACCTCAAGCAACCACTTACGATAGCTGCTAGTCAGACGTGCACAAGGAACTTTGGACCATTTATCCATATAGAGCTGCTTCAGCTCAGCTATATTCAGGGATGTCTGGTATGAGCATGTCTTTTCAGGTCAGCATCTCTGTTGGATTAAGCGCCTGGCTCTGACTGGGCCACCCCAAAAGGTGAAGTCATTCTATAGTAGGTTTACTTTGATGTTTAGGGTCATTGTCCTGATGTATCACCCAACTTCTATGGAGCTTAAGCAAACCTTGACATTATCCTGTAAGATACCTCGATAAACTTGGAAGTTAATTTTTCCCTTGATGAAGGTGAGATGTCAAGGCCCAGAGGAAGAAAAGCAGCCCCAAATTATGATGTCCCCCTTACCTAGCTTCACTTCTGGGATGATGTTTTCATATTCATACGGCCCTTTTACACATTTTACATAGTGCTACATGTTCTTGTCAAACAATTAAGCCTTAGTTTTTTCAGTTCATGAAGGAACAATGTTGAGAGATGATAAACAGCTCCTATGATTACTTTAAGCCTTTAGCTGTTACTCTGAGGTTCTTTCTTATCTTAAGCATTCTGTGTTGGGCCTTTGGAGTCATCTCAGCTGTACGTCCACTTCTAGAGAGAGTAGCCACAGTACTAAATCATCTCCATTTTATAGACAGTTTGTCTGACTGTGGACTGATGAATATCTAAACTCTTTGAGATGACTTTGAAACACTTTCAGCTTTATGCAAATCAACTATTCTTGATCTAAAGTCTTGAGATTATTCTTTTGCAAGGCATGCTTCACGTCAGCAGACGTTTCTCGTGAATGCTTGAGTATTTTTTTATGTTTTAAGACAAATTAGCTCTAACCCACATCTTCAAACTCTTGACTCCAGTTAGCTTTTGTTATTGCCATTAGCTGTGGGGTTCACATACTTTTTCCAGCCTACACTGTGAATGTTTGATGATTTCAGTATGAACAAGAACAATGCAATGATTTGTATTTTATTAGTTAAAATAGATTGATTGTTCATAATTATAATTTAGATCAAGATCTGACCATATTGGAGGACAAATTGTTTACATAAATGGAGGTAGTTTGAAAGGGTTCACTTACTTTTTCTTCCCAATATATCTGTATGCAGTCCAAATAACTTAAAGCATAGACTGTACACAGACATGTAGTCAGATGCGTGATGGTTCAGACAGCTCTTGTTCTTAGATTATTCTCCTTTTCTGATTTTTAAATGTTTTTACATTACAGAATAAAGGAAACTGTATTTGCAATAAACAATTATCTGTGTAAATGCATCATCTTTTTAAACTCTTCTCATGGGGAATTTCCATGTAGTTGAACAACTGTGATCAGAGCTTGCTGTGCAGACATAACAATAACAGTTTACTGTGTGACAGAACAGCAAAGTAAAAGGTGTTTCCTTGTATTGATATGGGTTTGAGGTTTGCACCTCTTTGCCTAACCAGTTCACTGTGACCACATCTACTTCTATTACATCTTTCTTGCAAAATTTATAACTTACCTGGTGCCAAAGCACAAAAAATGTCCATATTTTGGTGGATCAGAAAACACTGAGATTGTCTGTTAGGTAAAAGGAATTTAAAAAGTAAACTCTGAACCTCAGCAACTTGTACATAGGAGCTACAAAATGACTAAAAGCTGAACACTGAGAATTTCAATAATGGTGCCTTCTCTCTGGTCACCTGTGTAAGGATGGCATGTTCAGCCAATTGATAGTGATGACACAGCTCTGTTGAGGGTTGGAGAGCATTGGAATTTGGTCCTGCCCCTTGCATGACCACACTGGTGGGCAGGGCAGTTATCCCCTACTGTGAGGGTGCTGTATATTTTATCTTATTTCACATAAACTTGTTTCGACACCAACCAAAATAATCCACAGAATTTATGAGAGGTCATGTCCTTTTTTTATTTTCCAGAAAAATTACATGGAGAGCAGAAAGCCTGTGCTGGAATTGAAAGATGTCCCTCCTCCTCCTCCTCCTCCACCACACCATACGTCCTCCTCCCAACCATCCCAGCCCTTTTCTCTGGCCCCTCTCCCTTTGCCTCATCCCCGCTTACCTCCTCCACCTCAGCTTACACAAGGCTCCCACCAACAACAGCCACCACATCAGCAACTAGAGGGGGCAACCCCTAAAGTAAGCATTTGCACTCATTGTGACTACTGCAGCACAGACGGCTATGGCTTATTGGGTGGTGGAGGTGTTGTTGGTAGCAGTAGCAGCATTGCTGGTGTTGTGTCACTCTATATTGCCCCAGGCTCTGTGGGAGCACCCATCAGCAACAGCGGTATTAGCAGGTCTGGGCCTTGCTCTGTAACCTCATCTGTTCATCAGTATAAAAATAACTTGAGCTGTGGAAGAGAAGGTGAAACTCTTGATCCTTTGCTCAGTCTTGGCTACAAACCTCAACTGCCCTCTTCTGTTGCTACCTCTCAGCCTGTTTCATCACACCCCTACCTCCCCTGCTGCTCAGGACTTCTCCACACCTACCCAGCTGCACCTCTTCCATGCAGTCAACCCAGCTTTTTTCCCTCCTCAGCTCCTTTAGCTTCCTCTCTCCCCTCTGTTTCCACTCTACCTGTTTCGTTGCATGGCTCTTGCCTGGCCTCTTCTGGCTACTACACCTGTGGTGTGGACTGCAGCCCATCAGCCAGAAGATCCCAGAGAAGCACACTCGGTGACCACCCAACCTCCACCACCATCACTACTACAACCACCTCAGCACACTTCTGCTCTAATCCTATGCACCTTAATGTAGAACGCACGGTTTGTGTGAAGGGGGCGCACTACTGCCAAGAGTGCTTTTTGAAGGTTGGTAGAGTTCTCTTTGTGCCCTGTGGCTTATTATTTAGGTAACTGTTACATGCATGGATGACCCCAGTCAAGTAAACCCAGACTGGGGTTTTGTATTTGTGTTCTTACAAAAAACATTTGCATATTATTAGTTGATGTCAGTGTTATTTCTGATTTCCCTGACAGTTGTATTCATATGTGACTATTTGCAGCCAATGAATGGTCTGGCATCAGAGTCAGACAAGATATGGCCCAATGTTCCTGCTCCCCAGACTGCTCCTATCCCTATCCCGATTTGCAATGGCTGTGGCACCTCCTCTGATAGCATGATGCTCATGCCATCAACCAGCCTTGGCAAGATTGGCCAGAAGTATGGTTAGTGGGCTCTACAATACAATTTTGAATCATTGCTTATATGGTTGGACTGTTTGAAACAGCAGGCTCTATGGAATTAGTGTGATTTGAATATGAAATGTTCTTCCATCCAAATGAACTGCAACAACAATGACATAATTAATTCATTTGAATCTGTTATGTTACCTTTTTTTAAAAATAAAAAAAAAACTGTTTTAGAATGCTTGTTTACTGTGTGTCAGGTTCACCAGAGAATAGTGGTCCTGAGAACATCCCTCCAGTTGGTGTCTTCTGGGACATTGAGAACTGCAGTGTTCCCAGTGGACGCTCTGCTGGAGCTGTGGTCCAGCGTATTCGCAGCCGTTTCTTCCAGGGTCATCGGGAGGCAGAATTCATTTGTGTCTGTGACATCAGCAAGGAGAGTAAAGCTGTCATCCAGGAGCTTAACAACTGCCAGGTACCAAAAATGTATTATTATTATCATTAAAAAAAACTAATATTGGTGAAACATTTTCATGGTTGCACTAATACAAATGAGTGTCATTAACACCCTGATTGGAGAGTTCCCTACCACTGAGCTACAGTTTTATGTTAGGCACAGATGGAGTACTAGGGTCAAAACAGGAGTACATTTTCCATTTAAGATGATTGTTGAATAATAGACTTAACTGACCTGAGGCATTTTCATACTCTTCCATATTATTCCATTTCATTTTGCACCAAATTTGATGCTGCATGTTAAAGCTTTCAGAAAAATACAATGAAATTACCACTTACTACTTAACACTGTCACTAAAGTTACATGTTCAAGTTAAGCTCATAAAATTATGTTGCACGTTAATGTTAATTATCACCAAAAAAGCATACTTTTACATAACATAATTTTGACTTTTCAGGTTACTGTTGCACATATCAACGCCACAGCCAAGAATGCTGCGGATGACAAACTTCGCCAGAGCCTGCGACGCTTCGCTGAGACCCACACTGCCCCTGCAACTGTTGTACTAGTGTCCTGTGAGTTCAGCTCAGATTCACATTAATCGGCTGCAGTCTTGCTACCACAGAGGACTTTGCCTTAACAAGTGTCATCTTTTCTTTGTAACAGCTGATGTGAACTTTGCAAGTGAGTTGAGTGACCTGCGTCATCGCCATGGTTTCCAGGTAATCCTGGTGCATGGCAACCATACATCTTCAGCCCTTCTGCAGCACGCCCATCGCCACGTGGCCTTTCAGGAGATCACCGCTGATTTGCCACCACGAATGCTTGTCAAAGCACAGGTAGGCCTCAAAAATGCTTCTGTCAGACTTAAAAATACTTTTTGATCATAATCTGTATTAAATAAGGTAAGTTCATGCTGGCAAAAGTAATCGAGCAGAATCTCATTTTAGGGTGGTTCAAGAGGGCAGAGAGTGAGGCACTTGGAATGTGAATTTGATTATGTTGAATTTTCTTTTAGGGGTCATTACCATTTTTCCTAATCTATAGCACTCTCAGCCATTCAGTCAGGAAGACTACTGCTTTTTTTTTTTTTTTTAATAAAAGTCTAAATACAAACCAGACAGGCGCGCTGTCTCTTCCTCCCCTCCTTCAGCCCAGTTTCAACCTCCTCTATGTGCACAACCTCCCTGTCAACTGTGACAAGAGCCTGCGGAACGCTGTGAAGCTCAGGCTCCGCCGCCTGTCTGACAACTGTGGTGGCAAGGTGCTGGGCATGTCCCAGGGCACAGCAGTCCTCCGCTTTGGCAGCCCTGAGGCAGCTGCGCGTGCCCGCAAGCGAATGGAAAATGAGGATGTGTATGGCCGCCGAATCAGCCTCTCCTTCTCCCCACGGCCCAGAGACGATGCAAGTCTTGAGCCTGAGATTCAATCTCAGCCCCATCACTTGCTTCAGGCTCTGCCCCAACCCTATCAAACCCAGGATTCAGTGTTCGCCCCTCCCCCATCTATATCCTCCTTCTCTTTTCTGCCCCTGGAGAAGCCCAGGTCACCCAGGAGGCCACGGCGAGCAACCCGCCCGTGCCACACCCCTGGCCCAGTGCCTGAAAGGCCCTACAGCCCCAGGAGGGGGTGCAGTGGGCCTCCCGGTGGTGCTCCAGCCAAGCCCCGTCAGGTCAGCACTCTCATCAGTGCCTGCTTCCCCTTAACCTCCATTGCCCTCTATCCTTGTGTGGGCTGCTTTGTAAATCGCAGTAGCTTTTCCCCTCCCCAGTGTCCTTCTGATTGCTGCTTTGACACTAACGGCTTGTAGCTGCTTGCTTCATTTGTCCGCCTTTGCTAGCATGTAGCATGTATGTTGTTGGCAGTGCTTCATGTGTCCCGTTGTCCTGCATGTTCATTGGTCATTCATCATACTAACGCATGAATTAGCCCTTAGCTTTTATGCCTTTTTCTGACTGTGTTTTGTCCAGTATATCAGTGCTGATGTACTGCTGCATGTGAGTAGCCAGTTTCAATGTTCTGTCCAAAGTTTGCTCCATGCCACTATGTATCTGTGGCTGATCTTGTTCCGTGCAGTTATTCATTATGAAAAACTGACCTGCTGGCTGGAATGACTTGGCTTTTTGTCGCTTGATTGTAATCTGACAGACCAGTGCGACAGACTGGAGAAAATGACCCATAAATGGATTACTGTAAAGTTAGACTAAAGTCTACAGTAAAGAGAAAATTCAATTTGAAGTTTGTCCAATATCATTTGGCACTTAAATCGAAGGAAGAGATGAAAACACTAGGAATATTAAAGTAACTTACAGATTTCTGTACAGATAGAGGTCCATATGACTAATAACACAAACGGTGCACAATCAGAACTGCAGTAACATTTCTGTTATAGACCTGGTTCATGATTTTCAAACACATTTATAGGCACACTCTCATGGCTGTGTGCTTGCTGCCTGAAGTACAGTACTTGTTAGCTACAGCATGATGACAAGGTTTCTGAAGCTGTCACAATGGCAATCCTGTTGGCTGTCAGCTTGGCCTTGAGCCTCGCAGCATTCTTGTCATAGTCCTGTTTAATCAGAGCAGAGCACATTGTGTCTAATACAGTACATTCAAGTTCAGCAAATTCTGTAAGTAAAGTACTCGCAAGTAATACCTTCGACAGAACTAAGATTTACAAAATGAATAACAATCAGCTGGTGTTTGTTTAAATGTGCACCCATAGTTAAACCATAGAACATCATATTGTGCTTTTCTATAACTATTTCTATTGAGCTTGTTTTCATATGCACTAACAATTTTAACTAATCTCTTCACCATCCCACATACACATGCATTTACACACACATCAGCAGAATCCAACCAGTCAATGTTTCTCAATATTTGCCATCTGTCTGATCTAGGAGCTGGGTAGTTTCGAGGGCAAGTCCAGAATGGGCTTCCACCAACTGGATAAAGGGCGTGCTGCTTCCTCTTCCCCCCACAGTAATGGTGAGACCGGGGCCATGGATCAGCTGTCCAAACCTGGCCTCACTGGAGAATCCATGTACAGGCGGAGGTACACGCAGGGGAAGGGGACTTTATTCTGAGGCTACATCCACACTTATACTTTTTGGTTTTAAAACAAATGATCTCCATCCAACTGTTTTGGCTCCATATTACAAATTATCTCCTTACTGACACACCTGAACACGCATATCACATGACTATTGACATACACTGGGCATGCGCATGCCAGTGTAAACAGAAAGCAGATTGTCTATTCTGCAGTTGGTTAATTGCAGAATGCAATGTTATGAACAAGGAGCAGCAAAGGAAGTTGTAGGGTTAAAATGCAGAATTTAATTGCACAACAGAAAGACAACAAGATCAGTAATGCTTGTATTTTGTTATCCATGTTGCTGTCACCACTGGTAGTTGAGGCTGATTAGACCCAATCAGGGAGCAAACATGGGTGTCTATGTCATCGTTTCCTAAGGTCTCTCCCCCCCCCCCGCCGCCCAATCCATCCACACTACAATGCAACCCTTGAGTTTTCAAACCAAAACAGGGCCAGCATTTCCAAAAGTCTCTGTATTAGGGGCTCGAAAACTCTGGAGTAGTTTGGACGGCACACGTTAACTTAGCTAAAGTGATGCGTTTTGAAAACCAAAACGTATTAATGTGGATGTAGCCTGAGATGAATGGGATCTTATAACAAGTTTAAAAAACTCCTTTTGATAATTGGCTTCATACACTTTTTTCATGACCATACTGACCAGCAACAGTGCAACAAAGCATTTGGAAGCACTGCACATTACTGCCCTTATGTGTCCTTTTCATTTTTTTTCATCTTTCCATGTAGAAGAGAGGGCTCCAATCCTCGCAGCTTGACTGAATCCCCTGTAGAACAAGGTGACAGGAGCTCAGGGGAATTCCAGATTAGCACACCCTCAGCCTTCAGCAAGCTGAACCTGCATAGGAGCTTCAGTCCTCTTGTCCTCTCCCAGGGCTCCTGGTCCTCCAGGTCGCATATTCTGTTTAATTCATTCATGTTTGTTGGCTTAGAGCATATAAAGCCTCATAATATTAAATGTACAGATCTTCCTGATATTAGATGCAATATTCTCCTTCTCCAACAATAGGAGTGTGTCCCCCTGCCTGTCCAGCCGCTCCTCACCTGTTCTTGCTGCCCCTCGCAGCCCCTGTCCTGAAGGTCCACCTGAGCCGTTCTCAGAGGGGACCGAGGTCCAGGTGGGCAACCTGGACTATAGAATGTCGCGCAAGGATCTGCAGCAAACACTGCAGGACACCTTCTCTCGATACGGGCGGGTAAGCCCTGTTCCAGTGAAGTTATGCCTTTATCTTCTTTGACAAAATGCTGAGTCTAAAAGAACAAAGTCTCTCAGTAATGTTTCCTTTTTAAAATAATTGTGTCAGATATTCTGTTTGAAATCAGATTAACTGCTGTCTCAAAACATTTCCCTGGTATTGTTTTGTCTAGGTGAAAGCTGTGGAGCTTAGCCCCCACACTGACTATCAGCTGAAGGCCACAGTTCAGATGTTGTCCCTACAGCACGCTATCAGCGCTGTCAGTGGCCTGCACCGTTACAAGATTGGGAGCAAGCGCATTCAGGTGTCTCTGGTCACTGGTGGCAGCAGCAAATCTCTTGTCATGCTCAGGTACAGTTTGTGTTGAGTTACACTGGTGGCTTGGTTAATATGATGGTCACAGCTTGCTTTGATTCTCTGACATGAAGACATTTTCAGATTTATTAATACATTTTCTCTTCGGCTGGTTTGGATTTTGATGGTAAATTTCAGCTCTGTCATTATACAGCACAGAGATCATCAGCATTCTTCAGGATGCCCCTGCCAATTGTCTTCCCCTGTTCAAGTTCACAGAGATCTATGAGAAAAAGTAAGTAACTAACTGGTTGTCAACTTAAAGCCTTCCAACTTTTCTAATACACTTGGAGTATGGCAATTCCAAAATACAGTATGCATTACAAAGAAGTCTGTGCTGCCAAAGTATATGCTTTTTTATCCCCTCCCCAGGTATTGCCGTAAGCTGGTGGTTGGGGATCTTTACAGACTACCAGAGGTGGTGGCCGTGCGGGAACAGGGGGGCTCAAGGCTTGTGTGCCTTCTGCCCAGCAGCCAAATCCGCCAGAGTCCACTGGGATCTTCCCAGTCCCAGGAAGGCTCCTCTTCTGCTAGTGGTAGCCCCGTAGTGTTTGAGGAGCTGGAGTACCATGAACCTGTCTGCAGACAACACTATGCACAGCAGGACTTCAGGTACTCAAGTTCAAATCACCTACAAAATGCACGTGATAGGGTCAATGTTAGGCACCGTTAGCTAAACTATACAACTTCAATTGACTGTCAAACCTGTTTCCATCACTGATAGTTTGTCTTCTCTGTCTTTTTGTAGTGAGGCTGACTTTGACCCTGACTCCTATAAAATCCCATTTGTTGTGATGTCTCTGAGCACCTTAGCCTCTGAGGTCCACAGTCTGTTGCAGTCACATGAGGGAACCCTTCCACTACTCAGGTGACAACCAGCTCTTAAATCCATGCACAAGTTTTTTTTTTTTTTTCTTTCTTTTTTTATGTCAAACAACATGTTTACGCACAATATAAATACAATCAATAATGTATATTTTCCATTTAGTTTTCCAGACTGCTATGCAGCAAAATTCAGCCCACTGCAGCTGGGCAATGAGACATTGGAGGGTGGTGTTCCCCTGGAGCACCTCATTACCTGTGTCCCTAGTATCACAATAGTCACAGCTCAGAATGGCTTTAAAGTCATTAAGTGGATCCACAACAAACCACCAGCACCAAACCAAACTGGTAGGAACACTTACAAATTTCACAATTTTGTGTTAGGTTGTTGAAATTTTTGCTACATAGTTCAGTCTATCTATGATATACATATTACATATTTCACACATTTTATAAGGTTTTTCTTTTTTCTTTTTCTTTTTTTCTTTCTTTTTTTTGTTTTAAAATGTAGAGCCATGGATTCAGCGCTGCAAAAGTCCAGTGGGCAACCCTCAGCTCATTCAGTTCAGCCGAGAGATTATTGACCTGTTGAAGAGTCAGCCTTCTTGCATCATGCCCATCAGCAAGTTCATACCCTCATACCACCATCACTTTGCCAAACAGTGCCGTGTCTCTGACTATGGCTACTCCAAACTGTTGGAGCTGCTGGAGGCTGTGCCACACGTTCTGCAGGTAGTGAGAATAATGAGGATCATGCATGATTTATAATATTTTTTTTATTTTTTTTACCAGTCCTAATTGTACTTTTTTTATTTATTTTTTTTTATTTGTCATACTGCATTTTTTGATTTAAATATTCTTTACCTACAGATCTTGGGCATGGGTACCAAGCGTTTACTGACCCTGACACATCGTGCTCAAGTGAAGCGCTTCACCCAAGACCTGCTCAAACTGCTCAAATTCCAAGCCAGCAAACAAGTGGCCATCAAGGACTTCATGCAGGCGTACCATTGGTCAGTCAACATTGCTTGGAGCTGTAGATGATGCTTTCACATTGTCTTTGTGTTTTGTAGAGGTCTAAAAAGAGTTTGGATCATCACTGTCATGGTTGTGCATAATGTATTCTCTACCCTGTGTTTCAGGTGCTTCTCCAGAGACTGGAGGGTTATTGACTATGGCATATGTGACCTGATGGACCTCATGACTGAGATCCCTGAAACCACTATTACCATAACACACCACACCACGGACACGGTCATCTCTGTTCCCAAAAGAGGTTATTACAACAATTACAAAAATATAAAATGAAAATACATTTGTGTATTGTAAAATGTTATGAGGATAATCTAAGACGAAAACGTCAGCAGCATGAAGAAATCTAAACAAATGTTTTTTCCCTTATTTATTTGCCTTCAGAGCGTACCGTGGAGGAAATGGAGCGTACCAAGCAGTTTGCAAAGGAAGTGGTGGACCTGCTTCGTCACCAGCCTCACTGTCGAATGCCCTTCAGTAAGTTCATCCCCACCTATCACCATCACTTTGGTCGTCAGTGCAAGCTCAGCTACTATGGCTTCACCAAGCTTATGGAACTCTTTGAGGCGATCCCTGACGTACTGATGGTGAGTAAAATGTGTGTATTAGTATACAATATAATGTCCTGTGCTTCTTGACCTCTCAATATAAGAAAGTTTTGATGGCTCATTTTGTGTAGATGGGCAGTAAATAATCTAAGGCACAAGAGTATACTGAGGTGAGAGTATACAAGCAAATCTGGTGTGTAACAATGGCCCCACCATGTGGTGTAGCCAAGAGGAATGTGGCAATTCTCACTGGGCCAGATCATGCTGTTCTTACCTTTTTTTGTTCTTTGTCATATAAACTTTTTCTCCAGTTTAATATCTGCTCTGTGCTTAAAATTTACAAATTCCTCTTCAATTCCATCATTTCTGAAAGCAAATTTACATGTAATGTTCCCTACCTGTGTCAGGTGTTGGAGTGTGGTGAGGAGAAAGTGTTGACTCTGACAGAGGTGGAGCGTATCAAGGCCTTGGCGGCTCAGCTGGTCAAGCTGCTGCGGGCTCAGAAAAACTCCAGCCTTCCTGTCTGCCAGCTGCTCACAGAGTACAGCAAGACCTTTGGTTACGGTCTACGCCTGCAGGACTATGATGCCAGCTCCCTGCCAGCTCTGCTGACCAAACTCTGCCATGTTGTCAAGGTAAAGAACACCTTGAAGGATTTTAGTTTTTTATTTTGTTCGTTTTTTTTTAATTTTTTTATTTAGTTAGTTCATTTAATGGATAAAACATTAGAATTTATTTTTTTATTTAGAATTAATCCATTACTGTTTCTTAGTTTCACAAAATATCAAAAATCAAACTGAAATTATGTTTGCAAAGTCAATTTATATAAAACTGTAGTCATGCATACTTCATAAAGTCAATATTCTTTTTGATGCAACAAGAGTCGTTAAATTTTTGTTTCATTATAAATTACAGTCAGTTGACCATTTATTAGGTGCATTTTACTGAAACTACAATAAACCCTCCCTTCATGAAAGTGATGATGATGGTCGGCTTCTGTTGAGACCATTTTAGAGAGGTATTTCAACTGATAGTTATGAAGAATGAAGTCTGTGGTGCTGTTAAATTGTATTATACAAATTACAGTCTCCAGTATGATCAAGCAGTTGAATCAACACCAACTAGTCTCTCAGTTTACGTTGCACATTCAGCATCACTATTAGGCGTATTAATGCTGATTAATGTGTGTGGGAAAATCACAGAAATGTTCTCACTTAGTAAGACCAGTGTTCTCTACTATACAGTAGTTAAATACCAATAAACAAACACCGCTTTCTTTCCATTTTCAAGGTGGTGGATGGCTTGGAGGGACGGGAAGTACAGCTTATCAACAGGAAGTCTCTGCGCTCGCTGACATCCCAACTACTGGCTCTGCTCATGTCCCAGGAAGAGGAGCAGGTCACCAAGGGTCTGAAGGTGGAAGAGCTAAGCCATCATTACCTGACTGTCCACGGAGCCCCGCTCAACCCATGTGAATATGGGTTCCTCTCCCTCAGTGAGTTACTCAAGAGTCTGCCCTACCTTGTGGAGGTGAGTAAAGTTGTGTTTTTACCTTCGTCCTACAAACTCTTTTTAAGGAAGCTTTACATTCACAGTATTCTCAGTCTGTGACATTATTTCCACAGGCACAACTGACAGTGCTGTGGTTTTTCTTCTTTAACAGCTATACTATGAGGAGATTGATGAAGACTGTAAAACTGGCAACACTGCCACTGATCATGGTGAGGAGTGGGTGAGGCTGACCAGGCTTTACCAGTTTGCCCGTAACATACGTGCCCTGCTCCACACCTACCATTACAACCAGCTCTTTCTGACTGAGTTCCAGGGAGCTTACAAAAAATTCACAGGCTGCAGCCTTGAGCCACGTTCCTACGGATACGCCAGTACTGATGAGCTGCTCAGCGCCATCCCACAGGTGGGAATAATTTCAGTAGATACTTTGATCATAGTAATCTAGTTCTGAACATGTTCTTGGTGCCTGTCCACAGATAAGGACCTTTTTTAATGAGATAGTAGTGCTTGTAATCTTGTACAGTTCACATAGTTTCTCATTTCTGTAAATTTTGTCTCTGATTGTTTTGGGGCTTGTCATCATCAGGTGGTGTGGATCAAAGGACATGGTCACAAGAGGATTATCGTTTTGAAGAACGATATGAAAGGTAAAGTTGATGTGTCTCTTTCTCATTCCATTAGTTAAATTCAAGTCAAGGAAGTGATTTTCATGATATGGCTGTGTCTGTATGTGTGTTGAGTTTAGCAAGGACAAGCTCTTCAGTCCCCAACAGCCCCCAGCCAGAAGAGAATACAGAAAGCCCGAGAGGCAGCCCCGTTAGCAACACATCTGGAGCCCAGAGTCCAGGTAACGCAAGTCTTTATATAGACTAGTCAAGACTTGGTTTATTCACATAAGAAATGTAGTGAAGTAGTTGTGTAGTGTTATGGAAGTACAAGGGAACATTTTTATGTTGTGTTTGCCTGTACTGCCATCATTTGTTTCTGCAGTAAAAGCTGACATTTGTATTTATCTGTTGTACCTGTTCTTTTATGCTTCAACATCTAGAAAAGCAGATCTGCTGTCAGTAAATCTTTTTCAGTTAAAATATCAGTGAAATTGAGTCCAGATCTTTGTTTTACCTGCCAGGAGGCGATGAAGCTGCAGAGTCTGAGCTGCTGTGTCTGACGTCCCCAGTGGACCTGCTGTGTGGTCCTGTACCATCCTGCTTACCATCGCCTCAGCTTCACCCCGACCCCGTTCTCCTCCAGCAGGCGGACCTGATTCGCTTTGAGGAGAGAACGCCACCACCAACAGGTCAGTTTTACTGTTGTATATCAATTAATAGTAGTTGTTGCACTATTGCAGATTGAGTAGATTTTGTTTTTACCAGCAATCAGAGTCACTCTGACTATGATATTGATATTTTTTTTGTTGTTGTCTTGTATGTTTTTGTTTGAAGCCCGAACAGTAATCTCACAAAATTGTGAGCCCCCTCAGCCAGTCAGGCTGTCTGTGTATGTTGATGATGATCCAGATGGTGATTTTATTTAAAAAATAAATAAAATAAAAAAATTTTTGAAGATTTCCTTGTGCCTTGGCACAGATGTGTGTGTTAGTGGCATCTGGTTTTCAAAAAGGATGACAAGTAAAGAGCAAGAAATGATGCTGCAAGCTAGAACAAAAATACATTTTAATGAGTACATGACACATCTATCTATTTGCACCTTTCTTGTCTTTCATGAGGCGTAAGCTCAGTCTGTACTTGTGTGATTTCAGACGAGTGTGACGAACTTGAGGTGGCAGCTGCTGCAGTCACTGACAGCACATCTGATCCATCTGAGCAGCCTGGCAGCACAGAGAACTCTGCAGTCACCAAACTTCCAACCGCCCCCAACATGAAGACCCCCTTGTCTATGGACAGTCCCAGCAGAAGAGCTACACGCAGCAGAATCAAGCTAGCTGCCAACTTCTCATTCACAGCAGGCCTCTGATCCTCACACATACACATCCAGTCTCATGCACACAAAGCAATACTAGTTCACACATAGTGTAACTCTAAATGGAAGAGTTGACCGGCTACACTAAACACAGTACAGGAATTAACCCCAGAAGAGCATTGGTGTTGTCCCCTCTACATCCAGACAGGCTGTTGCATTCTTCTGCTTTCTTCTTTGTTGTTCATCCGCCATCTTTGTTACTCTTTGCTTATTTCAGTGTGTTCTTCCAGTGATGCTCACCAAGCTATGATTTTTCTTCTTGCAGATTTTCTGCAATTCTTTAATTTGCCAAATTCATCTACCATAACTGTTTGATTTCATCCCGACAGAAGTTAATTTACAATCCCACAAATGTGCATCTTCAGTTTAGAGTCACGTTGTGACGAAAGGCATGTTAGCTTACAGATAATTAATGACATTGAGTTAGTTGTCACTGTTTAGAGTATAAATTAACAATGGGAGAAATGCCAGGGATGAGGTTTTCTATATGGAATTCAAAAAAAATTTTAGCTACCCACATAAATAACTGAAGATTTGTTGATGTTTTGTTCATGAACCATATTGAGAAATTACTTCGCTGGATTCCCAAAAATAGAAGATTTCATTTATGACATTAACTCATTTTTGAACTAATTTCAAATTTTGGAGATTTTACTTTGTAGGTAACCATAGACATGTCAACCAAACTGGCTGATAAGCCCCTGACTGATTAATTCTTTTAGTCTTCTCTGTGGATTTCTGAAGAGGTCGCTTCTCTTTGAGGTATATTCTCATCTTTTGTCTCTGTTGTAAAGCAGCCTAAGGACAGTATTTTCAGTTCCTTTTATATAATGCAGAGTATTTTGTAGTCTGTGGAGGAGTTTGGCCTAAATGTGTGGTGTATTTGGTGGCAATTCAGTGATGGAACTGGAGAGAAACCACAGTGTTAACTGTTCAGATTATGTCTTCTTTAATAGAAGCTAACAGCCTTTGAACAGTTAAAGTTTGGATCGAAAGGTTTTGATGTTGCGACAAACACTGCTCTCAGGAATTTTTATTCTTGTAGTATTTTGACTTAATTTATAGCAAAGTTTTTGGCTTGTCTCTCCGAAGCCACTAATGAAGGCCTGAAAGAGAAAAGGTGGCTCTTTAAAACTCCAGCCAGGTGTGTGCTCAGGCAGCAGGAACTGACATATACTTTGATTGTTAGTCTTCAGCCAGCAGCCAGTGGTGTTTGTGTTCTCTTAGCTATATTTTGTCTGTTTGTGGTTTACACTGGAGTAGGTGGTGTGAAATGTGAATGGTGTGCATAAATGAGTTTATGCATGGTGTAAGCCCAGGAGGAGCAGACGGGAACAGATGATCGCAAGACATTCTTTAAGATCAGTCTTTTATTTCCACCATGTTTTAAGGATCTTAAGAGTTGGCGTCACTCTTGCAGTTGCCAGAGAAATGCGCAAGGTTTTTTTTTGAGTCAACCTTGTTGCTGGCAGGCACTGTATCAGTGGTGGTGTCCACACCGTCTGAGTTGATGAGTTCGAGGGGAGCAGTGAGCACTCCTGAGTTTTTGATTTTTAATGACAAGGCGAATGGTTGTGAGTTTTAGGGAGAAGAGATGGGACAGGAGGCGATCGGCGGTTTGTGGAGCAGCATGGCGGCTCTAAGTAGCCTCCTGAACAGTCTGACGTACACACAGAGGACCCTCTGCGGCTCTCTGGAATCTGCACGGCTTTTACAATGGCTTGTATTTGCCGCGGTGCCAAAGGAATTGCCATCGTACGCCCCCCCCCCCCATCCCTAACATCCCACGTAGAGAAGTTTTTACTTGCTGATGTGTGTTGGTTTTCTCCGTTTTCCTCAGTCTCAAGTGTTTACAAGGCTGCTGGCTGCTCAATTGCCACCAACTAATGTCGCTGTCCCTGAAGTTTAGCACAACCCAAGTGTGCCGCAGTTCAAAGAATGGGTAAAAGCCCATTTAATCAGTTTCTGTGCAGTATCATTGTTTAGCAGTGTTATACCATGAGTTTTCTTTGTCAGACTTGATTTTGACTCGGTGCCTTTTTAATGCTGGGACGTTCCACCTGCCAACGCATCAAAATGTCTGAAACACCAATCTAAATGTTTTTAAATAGGGCTGTTATGGCTCGCCTCTTCTACAATGTTTTACTGGCTGTCTGGAAACCTCTTTGATGTAGGAATGAGCAGTTCAGAATAATTATTTAGAATCGCTGATAGAAAATGCTCACAAGAAATGCCTAGATTTAAATTTTGTGGTAGGGATGCATTACTTTTTGTGTACGTGAGCAAACCGTAGCACTCCCCAGAGTACCGCAGTGACAACTAACTCGCATGTATATTTAACTTCCCTGGTTAAGCCTTCTCTCGACATTTGGTTACATCAGTGAGAAGCTATTGTACCTGTCAAAATATGCACTTCTGCATAGTTTTGGTTCATGAAATATATGTGAAATTATTTTTAGTGTTTGGAGCAAGGTTGAAAAAATATTTGTCTTGGCCTCTTTGTTTGTTCTGTATGTCACTCTGTCTTACTTATTCAGTTTTTGCATTGCATGACGCTTCTGCAGTCCTGCAATCTACTGTTAAAGAATAATTTCAAGGAACTTCCTTTAGTCCTCACTGCAGTGTCTTTAAATCTCCTGCCTTGTGATAATATTTTGTTTACGTGCTCAACAGTTGACTCACTGATGTCTCCCCCCCACACACACACACTGAGATTGTATTATTGCCTCACCACACCAGAAGTCGTTGTAACAGTCTAACATTGTTGAAGGGACCAAAAAGATTTCCGTTTAATAAATTTCACAAGCATCACGTCTGCCTCGTCTCTGTTTGTTTTTTTTTTGTTTTTTTGTTGTTTTTTTTTTTAAGGAATCACAGGAAACCCAGCATGTTCCTGAAAGATGCTCTTTATTTAAACATATATGTACAGGTAGTTTCAGCTTATTTTCTGCATATTTGTTCAATATTCAACATTAGGACCTTCGTAAATTTACTACTACTACAGAACGCTAAAGTTATCAGAAGGAAGGTAAAGTGACAGAGCAACACTTTGCTTGACATGAGTCACTAAAGTCCTAAATACACTCAAACATACACCATCTATTGTAGGCATTTGCAAGAAAGTTGCATTCATTTCCTGGTGTTTATCATAAAAACGCAAGACTAAATTCAGAGGATGCAAGTTGTTTGTTTGTCAGCAATATTTGCAATATCCATAATAACCATGAATGATGTCATACTACCACAGTCAGTATTTCCCGGTAGCTGATGGCTGAGATGATGTCACTATGGCCGGGGAGGTGTTGCATTTGGGGAATGAGCAAGTGGATCATTTGTTAAAAAGAAAAAAATCCATGTTATTATAAAATGGTGTAAGTGTTGGCATATACAGGGGTTTACCAAAAATAATGATGTTAGTTTAAAAAGTGGGACATATGGGGTTGTATGGCTGTTGGTTTTAGCCTTTATAGAGTGTAAAGTAAAAGTCTGGACAAACATTTCAGTGTAGTGCTACAAAATGATCTTAAGTTATAATTTTGTCCAAACCTATTTCCCTATACATTTTCTTAACACTATCATAATCCTACAGTTTGGTTTTGTGGCCCCTGTTTATCTTTGTCTTTGCAGTTTGTGCATTTTTAAGTAATATACATTTATTAATTGCAGATGCTTCAGCCTCTGTGAAGTTCAAGTCATTGTCTCATGACCTGAGGTTGCAGCAGTGTTTGCAGCGGTACGTCAGTTTCGTCAGCATCGAGTCTCTTCTTGAAGTGTGTCTGATAATGGTTAAGATTTTAGTGACTAGACATTTTTAATCCGCCAAGAAGCCGCTCAGAGAATTATTCTGCTGCTCAAAAATATTCCTCAGCTCCACTGCAAAAGCATCCACTGGTTGTCACTGTCCTCTACCATTTCCAACCCAGTTTACATTGTTCACTCAATGTGCAGCCCTGTTGTTTGTCTGAACCATGTGTTCCTCCCACTTAGTAACAATGATAAATATGTAGAGTTGCAGGTCTGGAAATATCCATTACCAAACGTGATGAGGTGAAAGCAGATGTTTTTTTTTTTGTTTCCTGTCACACAGAGAAACCCAGTATTCACAGTTCACTATGTGGACCTTGTGCTTGTAGTTCTCTGCCGACATGTACTGTGTATCAGACACATCGTCATAAACCACATCGCCATCTTGAAAAGGAATGTTGCATAATGAAATCTGTTTCTCGATTAACACACTTATATATTAGATTTATTTTTATCTACAATACCCATGTTTCTCCCTCATCATTTTTCATTTCTGTTGTCTTTAGTTACAAAAGCTCCTCGGGTACTGATTAGGTATCAGTGTCCAAACCTCTGGCTGACCCTTTGTGGCTGAAACTGTTTAAACAAACCTGACTCCTTCACAGAGTCCAGGGGAGACCTGGCTGACCGGGTTTCTCTGAGTCACAGGAAGTTATAAATGGCATGTCATGTGATGTGAGTGTGTTGTGTCTGACACGTGGACGGGATCATAAAGAGGTCTCTGTCAGTTACATGACGACACACTGGGTGGCTCCACAGCAGTCCTTAATGATGGCCACTCCTGACTTGGTGATGGATGGTTTGTTGGGGGGCGGCTCCAGGATTTGTCTCTTGGGCTTTGGAGGATCTTGTCACAAAGATAAAGGAAAGACAAATGTTCACACCATCACAAGTGGAAGTGCACAATACCCTCTGTCTCTTTCAGATAGTGCATGCAGGTTATTTTTAAATCTCTCACTCACTTTGTGCGACTTTGAGCTTCTTCTCCAGAGGCATCAGCTTCAGTCTGAGAAACTCAGCCATCTCCTTGTCCTCCTCTTGCTCTCTGAGGTACGACAGTCACATCTTAGTTGGGTTTGCCTGACTTATAACAATACAGTTGGCGGTGATTGGACAGTATGGCCTCGAGCTAAACACCTGTTTTTCTTAAACATAAATCTCTGATCATTTAGCGTCCGTAGACTATGTACAACAATGAAACAAAAGGATATGCCACTGAAATATATAAATATATACAGTATCAGTCAAAGGTTTGGACACACTTTCCCATTCATGGAAGTTTGTAAAATGTGATCCACGCTTAAGTTTTGTAAAGTTTTATTATCAAGTATTTGTATCTATATTAATGCTTCTCTACATTATTTTATATTTTATAAACAATCATGTGTTAACAGAGCTGGTGAAAAACAGAGCCTCGCCTTTGTAGCATTTTGTGTTTTTCAACGATGGTTAGGGAAAGACTGAAGCAGAGCTCTGTGACTTGAGTGTAATGATACACAAGAAGCACAAACTGGGGCTGAATGTGGCCCTGATATATCAGAACATTAACTCACGTTTCTATTGTGACTCAGTGCATCGTAAAGACTAATTCTGATTAAGCTGTTTAAAATGACAAATAACAATCTGATATTACACTTACAAAGACATTTTTTGCTCATCCAGTGATTTAAAACCAGCCAGTGATCTTACATCATTTTCTATCATGTCTATATGAATGTTATCTTTGTGTCGCACTCTGTGGGGTTATCTGTGGCAGCAGAGGAGGAAGAAGAAAATGACAATGCACAGCCACCGTCATCAGTCAGCCTCCCTCCCACACACACACACACAGCAGGCAGTGTTGTGATGATGAAGTGACCCTGTCCCCTGCCTTCAGTCATGCTCACATTTGCTCCACACGTTTACTCTAATGAGTCTCCTCCTGCTGTTTCTCAACCAGCCTGTGCATCAAATGAAGAAACAGTGGATGCACTTCATTCTGACACTGTCTGTTTGTTTACAGTACTAGCAAACAAACAGACAGTCCGCTCCCGGGGACGACATCCCGGATATTGAGTGAGCCAACACGTCGGAGCGCTCTACCTTAATCTCTCCACCTCAGCATCATCCACCAGGAAATCCCTCTTCTGTACCAGTTTATGGATCTTCAGGATCAGCTCCTCCTCCCGCTGCCTGTGCTTCTTGTTTTTGTCTTTCTCTGGAGGAAAGGAAGGAAGAAAATGATTGAAAGTCATAAACCAATAAATAGATGCCTGAAGGGAAGGACGAGTAGGCAGAAGTGAAACTGAAATTATTTTATTTCCTGGTGTAAAATATAAATGCAGGTTCTGTACATGGAGTTACTTGCAACTCATGTTAAAAAACTGACTTTACAGCAAAGTCAGCTGGCTCTTAAACACTGAGTCACATCACAAACAGACCCTTAATTCTGCACTCATGTATAATTTATAACAAATAAGGCACTATCTTAATTATGCAAATGCTAGAGAGCTCTGTTTTTAGTTTCATTTGGAGAAGAAATTTGCATTCAGAGATCCACAAACGCAACATCCACTGTGCTTTGTCTCACTTGCCTAACCTTCACGCTCCGCAGCACAGGAAAAGACACACATGAACACACCAAACAAAGAGCACGCACACACACACACAGACACACAGACACACAGACACACAGACACATGCGCCGACAGCTGCAGAGGCAGGTTGTTTGGCTCTGCCGGTATCTAGGCTACTTTGAAAAAAGGGTTTGAAAAATGACTGCAAGCATCAGCTCTTTCTCCCATCTGGAAATAGAGCGGAGCAGTGCAGCTCCAGTGTGTATCCCCCAGGGGGTGCAGGACAATCTGAGGGGCGCGTGGCTGCGACGCACAAACCCCAATGTCAGAGGAGCAGGAGCGGCAGCATGCAGGGTCTGTTTGTCATGTGACTCTCATTGTGCGAGTGTGGAGTAAATGGGATGCCAGAGCCCCCCAACGACTGCATACATGAGGCCCCAGTGGCTCATGGGAATGGCAACGAGGGGCAGTTTTTGCCTGACAGAGTGCAGTTTGTGTGACCAGTAATCCTAAATGGACAGGGGGGCAGACAATATAACAGGGACACCTAACAGTACAATGCAACCCAATCAAAGCTTGATGCCTCCGTTGAGGAGTGAGGTCACACCCTCATTTTTTGTTGAATGTAAGTGTTCATCCTACAAAACCAAACAAATGACAGAGTTGTATTTAAATGTAATCCAAGTAAAATGAATAAATAAAACAGGAAAAATCGAATTACTGCTGATGAGGACCATGTGATATGGTCGAAAGCAAGCGTGTAAGTGGACCTTAAAGCTAAAACATTTTCTTCCTCTTACAAATTAAAAGTTGAATTCACAGAAAATGCTTTGCTCAGCTCAAAGGTTTCGATTCTAAAGCCTCACTTGTTCTTGGTAGCTTGTGGTGGCTAATGTTAGCTAATGTCAGCTAACTTTAGACATATATTGTTGTTTACCTGATAGAGTGAGTTCTGTTTATACATCTTTTCTATTTATGCTTCTATTAAACCACGTTTCAGCATTTAACATGATCCTGTGATTGCCTTTTTGCCACGGTTACTGCTGTCCACGATCGCTTTAAATTGGATTTGTCTTGTCAGCTTTCCTTGTTGGTATCTGGGGAGTTCGCACTGGGTGGATTCATGACCTCAATATTTTGAGTCGTGGCTACAGCCCTGAATCAAATCAACACAACAAAACAACAGCACAAAAACAGCTCTGTTGTATTGGATTACATTAAATTGTGTGGTGTTTCTGTTATTTTGTCCACTCTCTGCCATGTGGTTAAAAACCCCTCCCTGTGTTTGACAGGTCCCACAGTTTGTCTCCCAAAAACAGCTGATGAGCACCCATGTGTCCTGTTGCTACTGCATGTGTGTCCTTGAACAGACACCTGCCCGTCCTGTTCACACACCCTGACACATGATGTGAATACTCACAGAAGAGGTGTGTTTTCATTCTGTTGCTAGGTTCTCTGTGTGCAGAGCTTTATGGATCTGTTACTATGGGTGATGCAGCAGCAGCAGCAGCACAGATACACAGACAATAGCAGAATGGACTGAGGAGTTGAACAAATATTTGATACTGTGCTCTGCACCTCAAAAACAATCTGGGGAGTCAAAAGGATTCATTTATTTCAGTATTGAGACACCTTGTCTGTAAAGCTTCCCCCAGCTCATATTGCCTTCACAGTAATGATGCATGTGTGTCTGTGTGTGTATGATGATCTCTCCCTCATAACTCACACACATCCCTGAGACTTACGATCAGTCCCGCGTAGTTTAGTGAAGCGACACTTCCTATAAATCACCATGACGCCTGCTGAGGTTATGGGACTCCGGCGAGCTACAAACACAAACACTTTGTGCCAAAAACTCTATTTTTGGTGGAGCTCAGACAGAGAGCGTGGATGGACAGTTTCACACACAGAGGATCAATTCTGAGAGGTTTATTTCCTGAAAGGCTTACAGCTGGTTTTCCTGATGTTGGTTGTTTGTGTGGCAGAATATATGTATGTGTATGTATGTATGTGTGTGCGTGTGCGTGCGTGTGTGTGTGCGTGCGTGCGTGCGTGCGTGCGTGTGTTAGAACTGTACCTGGTACTGCGACAATCTGTCTCAGCTCCTGCTTTAAACTCATGATGTCTTTGCAGAGCTGGATGTCATCCATCCTGAAAAAAATGAAAAAGAAAACATTAAATCACTGGCTTCCGCTTCCACTTTGTTTATCTTTATCGGACTGAAATGATGTTAGACTCTTATATCTTATAACAAAGCCTGTAAGAAAAGCAGATGTAGCTGAAAAAACAGTTGGAAGGATGTCTATCAAAAAATGCTATAAAAAACCTTACTTTTTAATATCTAATCTTGGTGATGTTAAATATTGTGAGTATTATATTGCGAGATTTTTTTATTTATTTATTGCAATACCCTCATTAAATGTAGCCCATATAATAATACAAATAAAATGTAAAATGCAACATCCCAAAAACAGATTATTTTCAACCAAAGATATTCAATATATAATAATATAAATTCAAATGCTAACATTTCAGTGAATGTTTGGCATTTTTTGATGAATAATTCACTAAAATAATGAATCAGCTATTAAAATTATTTTGAATTTATTTTCCGTCAACTGAATAATTGATTAATCGACAAATCACTTCAGCACTAATCACTGTACTACTTGTCATTGAGACTTCACAGCCTCATCCCCCCATGTGTCACACATCAGGAGAATGTGTGCAAATGGAAAACATGCACCATCAATCAGTCCACGCTGCTCTCTGAGCCTCCTGCAGCCCTGACGTCTCACCCTCAGGGCCTCGACGTTTTCCCCTCTTCTTCCTCCTAAATCCCCGCCTCCCTCCCTCTCTCTGCGGAGCAGTGACAGCTTCCACAGATTTAATTCTCCCTGTGATAGATCAGGCCGATGACTCATCCACAGCCTCCTTCCTCCTTCCTCCTCCTCCTCTCTCTCTGCATTTATCCCGGTTGCTCCGTTTTACACCGCCCTCCTCCTTCTTTCTCCCCCATGTCGCTTCTTTTTCTCCCTTCACTCTTTCAATGCTATCTGTGGATTCCTGCAGCTTCTGCACTCTGACACACCATCTGCTAGTTTGTGTGTGTGTGTGTGTGTGTGTGTGTGTGTGTGTGTGTGTGTGTATGTGTGTTTATGTGCCATTTCGAGTCACACAGAGCCTGACAACAGAGACGTAAGCAATAAGCAGCGTGGCGGCCTAATGAAGCCTTTCAAGTGGGCGTGTGAACAAACATTATTAACTGAGTGAGGACTCTAAGACGTGTATCAGCTTCATCCGACACAACAACTGCCACACTTCAGATGTTAGGGGTGTAATGACCCACAAAGTACACTGTTTAGTTGGATATGTTAGAGTGGTGATACAATCTGATATAGTTTTGACAGAGAAAAATAAACTGCCTGAGACACTGGCTTCTACTTCCACAGTCAATTTGGTTTTATAAATTTGCAGTAATGTGTAATAGTACTATGCATTTTTCCTGGCTCACCAAGAGTGGGTTTTCAACAGCACGGTGTTTGTAACAAAAAGAAAAAATCTCTGTTTTACATAACATAAACAGATATGGCAACAAAACATCATTTGAACTCAACAATCCGACACTGAAACACATTGATATGCTAGGAGTGTCCAATATACAGTACATGTATGAATAAAATATAAAATCCTCACAGTATCACGGTACAAGTAGTTTTACATTAAGCAATCAAAATATTGTGAAATCAAACTGAGAAATTACAGAACTGCTATTCTTAATATTGACAACTAGTCCTACAAATTCAATTATAAAAAAAAAGGTATTTAATTTTATTGATGCAAAAATCTTCTTGCTCACTGATATGTAACATCGCCTCTAATGGATTAATGCAACTAAAGATATTTCAGGGATATTAAATATAAATGTTACAGCAAAATTTCTGACGGATGATAAATATATCTCCCACCATCTCACAGTATATATTGTCATTTTGTCCAACCCTACATGTACCATGAGTTTGTATTAGAGCTGCACTGATTGGTCTGCTAATCAATTAGTCTATCAACAGCTCAATCAATCATTTATGTCATTTATCATGAAAAATTTAATGGTTTCAGCTGCTCAAATGTCAAAACTTATTGCTTTTCCTTGTCTAACATTATAATAAAAGTGTATATTAGACATCCGATGACATCACCATGATCTTTAGGAAGCTGTGATGAGCGTTATTCAGTTTTCTCAAAGATTAATTGAGATAATTATCCGCAGATTAATTCAGAATGAAAGTAATTATTAGTTGCAAAGCCTAGTCTGTACTGAACAATACAATGAGACACCAAATCGGTACTTTACAGTATTAAACTCATTTTGTTTGATCAGTTTATCCACATCCATGTCGTCACGCTGTAGAAAAAGTGCAGACACAGCGTTCCTGTGAAGAAGGCAGCGAGAGTTTAGACGGAGGAAATAACACAGAATGTCGCCCCGAACACTGATCCATCATCCTTGAAGCTATTGTTGATGAGGAGCCAACAAGTTCATCATTGTGACTCATTCGACTGCTACTGGCCTCTGGGTAATCAATGGACAAATGGACTGCTGCCTTCAGTATCGAACAGCCTTAAAACAGCCGACTTATATCACAAAGACAACACAACACTTGAATGTCTTTGCAGTGCGTCATGAGAGTGTCAGCTGTGTCATGGCAACGAGGCCAGTCTCATTATCCACTCAAGGACAGCAACAGCGATCGTTGTGACACTGTAATGATTAAATCTTTGTCACATTCTGGTACATGTGGTGCTACAAAAACACAGAAACCAACACTTCCGCAACTCACATGAAACGCAGCTCTGACTCCCGGCGCACCAGGACCTCTCGCAGGCGCTGGATACGAGTCATCTCCACCTCGATCTCCTCTGGAGACATGGTGCTCTCTGCCATGGACACGTCTGAATGACCTGAGAGGCAGGGGGATAAAACACACAGTAAAATGAAAAAGGAGGAATAAAAAAGAGAGAGCCAGGGGCGAGCAGGAGAAACAAACATCTGGCACCCTAGTAGAGAGACTGTTTTTCCTCCACAAGGACAGCTCTGCTTTAGTCTTGTCTGTTATGCAATTCTCTTCACCTTGGACAGTGTTTAAGGGTTCGAAGTTTATTTACTGGTTTAAATTACAGAGAATACACTACATGTGGCCAAATTACAGATTCCAGTGGCACAATGCCCTTATCTCATTTGAAGTTTTAATGGTAGGTTCATTCTCCTATGATTTCATATGGCAGTTGCAGCCAAGAGTTCTTAAATCCTGTCTTTTTATCCTTGCAAACTTTCTCAAAGCGTCAGCTTCTTGGCAAACACAGTTCTCACCTCATCCCTCCTCGATATGTGGTTTCACAGCAGCCAAGAACATGGTATTTGGAAAGAAAGCAGCATATGTAATGGTGATTGGAAATTTAGAGTCACAGCAGCGCCTCAGGCACAAAGACTGTTTGCCTTAAATCACATGAAAATGTACCAGGATTTAAGAATATATTACAGGCACTGTGATAAGTGTCTGCTGACAAAAAATCCTAACATGGATCAATGATCAGCTGTGGATTGTTGCTGATCGGGTTTTTCCTTCCTGAGCCGGACCACGGACTCACACTGCGACCACCAAACTCTTACGACACTGACCAAACACTTATTGTTCTGACCACTGCTAATGCTGCCGCACCTGCAACAGACTGACCTCACCAGCATCTTACATCATACAAACAACAGATAAACAGTGCGGCATTCATATCAAGAGTGGAGCTGAAGTTAAATGTGGAGTACAGAGGTGCCCTGGTCACTCCTCTTTAGGACCTTTGCTGCATTGTCATCCAGCTTCTTTCTCCCAATATTCCCATCTATCTCCATCGCAGATCTTTAAAGGAACACTACAACAATTTTACACATGTAGCTCAGCTTGTCATGATGAGTGATACTTCTGTGGCTCTGGACAGAGCTTTACACAATTTGAGGATGGAAGTTTGTGGATTTTAAAAGACGAGGGTTTTTTACCAGGCAGGGAGGGCCTACTGAAAGACAAGTTGCATCATGGGAAGTTAAGGATCCAGGGTTTTTGGGACATGATTTATACAAGGGGCTAAAAGTCAGTATATTTTGGGCTCTACTGTTCCTATTTAGTCATTTTTTAAATCAGTCTCTCACAGGTTCCCTGATTATAGAGAAGTAACACTTAATCACTAGAGTAACGCTTTAAACAAAGGTAAAACTTAAAGTAAAGAGTCTCAAAAACATCTTGCAATGCTACAATACAATGAAATACCATCAATCATATGTCAATCTTCACTTTGTTTCTCTAAAGACCTGAATCATTAACAGCAGTAATCTTCCACTTAAGTGCACAACATAAATATTTCCCAGAACCAACAAATGCACCTGTTGTCATTTTCCTGTAAACATATTAGGGCTGCAAGTAACACTGACTTTCATTATTGAGTGATATGCTGATTGTTTTCTTCTTTAATTCATCAATTCTTTGGTCTATAAAATGTTAGAAAAATGTCCATTGCAATTTTCCAAGGTGATGTCTTTACATGTCTTGTTTCATGCGACCAACAGTCCAAAACTAAAAGATATTCTGTTTATAATCACAGAAACTTGCACATGTTCACATTTGAGAGGCCATATGGACACTCAGTTTTCCATATGCTCATTAAAAGAGTTGTGTAGTGTAATCATTATGTTCCTCTCCATACTGGCTGTAAAGTGATCCCTTCTTTACACGACTACGCAGTAAGAGGACAAAATCCACAGTCCACACCCTGATAGGTCTTAATACACCTGAGTAAACAAACAATTGCATCTTTAATCCTGAGCTGTCAAACGTGATGCACGACGTTTCTCCCCAGTATCTCTCGTAACATTAGAGGACTGGCTCAGCTCTTCGGCCTCCTGCAGCAGCACAAACTGCAGTCTGTCTTTGTGGTACTTTTCGTGGATGCTTGCTGAGGACGGAGCTGACTCACCACAGCAGACAGAAGTCTGCACAGGAGGGCCCGGTTTGTTTGTGCCTCGCTGATGTTGAATCATCACCCAATGGTGTCTGCTGATGACAGAAACCGCACGATATGAACTGCATCTTTCTTTGTCTTGTCTTTGTCGTTTTTCTTCGCACACAACGCACCTCAAACTCGGCCACGTGTTCACCATCAATAAGTCCTGAATGGACTATTAAAGGTGGTGACGTGCCAGCTCAATAATGTGTTAACAGCTCCCCCTCATCTGAGCAAGCCACTCACACATGCTCTGCCTTAAAAACATTGCGAGGAAAGAACAGCTTTGATACTTCCTAATTAAAAGCAGCTTGTTCACCAGGGCCAGGCGAGGTTGACTCCAAAGTTTCAGCAAGCAACACCGGCAGATGTAAACCACACACCTAATTAATCAGCTTGAATTATACCCCGTTTCATTAAAAACAAACTGGCTCATCAGTGTACTTCAGGATTATGATTTAATGAGGAATAAATAGCCTGGAGAACCTGGATCGTGGCGTGGCCACAGGAGGCTCCGCACCAGGGAAATGTCAGCATCTGTATGACATCCAATGCAGACGCCCCTGACACATCCTGCAGTCACACTGTACACATAGTGCTGCTGATGCTACTGCCTCTTAACCCTCCTCACCTCCCTCCACACCCCGCCCCCTCCAAAAGAAAAGAAACAGATGGTGAGCAAAAAATGGAAAGTGCAAGGTAAACACAGGCAGTATTTGTTTTAGAAATAAGAAGAAATCAACCTGGAGGAGGGAGGTTTGCTCTGCTTTACCTCTGTCTTGTTTGGCTGTATGTGTGTGTTTGTGTTTGTGGGAGACAGAGAGGGAGAGCGATGACTGGATCTGTGTCTAAAAATATCCACAGATTTTTTTTCCCCCTTCTTCTCTGACTTAATCTGGAAGTTTCTTCACACCCTGCTCCGCTGTGACGAGTTCTCCACAGCAGAACCAACCAGGACCCATTTGAAATCACATTACTGTGTTGCTTCTGTCAACACATGCGTCATTCATCACCCTTCAGTATCTGAATTGTTTATTGGACAAAATAATAGAAACGTCTAAAACAATGGCTGCTGCAGCTAACAATCTTTATGTTTGTTGAAACTGTGTTTGTTCAACTCTGCGTCTGTTATTTTTGAAGCTGTAATTTGTGGTATTGTTTAGAGATAAAAACATCAGATGATTAATTGATTAGTCAATTGACAGAAAATTAATTGCCAATTAGAGTCATTTATGAAACACAAATACAAAATTCTCCAGAGTGAGAATTTGCTTTTACATCACTGTGATTTGAATATCTTTGTGTTTTTAAGTATTGGTCAGAGAAAATAAATAAATAAATCTAAAAAACAACCAATTCAAGCACTTCACATTGGGATATTGTGGTCTCTTTTTTTTTCTTCTTTTTTTTCTGTTTTCTGATATTTACAGAACAAATAATCAATTAATTGACCAAGAAAACAATCTGTATCAGTAATAACAAGACACATTAATAGATGCAGAACAAAATAATAGAAACATTTCATTTACTGGCTTTGCAGCCTATAATTTTCATGTTTTACCTGAATCTGTAAGAGCGCTGCTCACCATCATGCTTGAGGCTGTTGTATTGAGTGAATTAAAGCTTTTATTGTTGTGAGCTGTTAATATAGTGCAGGCTTCTGTACTTCAAATCAGCCCAATTTAAGTTATTCTTAAAATAAACTAAAGTATGGAATATAGCCTACCACATACAAAGTATGCCCTCGAACTGCCAGCTGTCTCTAATTTTGACAGAAACACTCAATTGTCCCTCTAAATGTGAAAGCTATAGACCACATATTGATCATTGGACCAGGGTATTAACTCAAAGCTGTCCATGCTCTTGCTTCATGCTTCCGCACCAGCTCAGGCTGAATCAAACACACAAGTTTCTAAATGCGCTGGTCTTGCTGTGTTTGTGGTTTAGAGGCTACACCTTGGCTCAGACTCATTCACAAACCGCGCACTGCCCATAGTGTGCATGCAGGGAAATTAATAGGCCTTTGAGCACCAAGGCACCGCCACTGATACATCCCAAACCTTTGTGAGTCACGCGTTAACCCTTTCAGAGCCGCCTGCTCGCTGGATTTTCACTGAGTGAAACATATGCTGGCAAAAACTGACACGTTCACTGGCTATTTCAGAATCCACACAGTACCTTTGTCCGTTGTCCACGCCGTTTCCGACACGGCGCCGTAGCTCCTGAGCGCGCGCTCGGTGTCCGAAATAGATTTCTTCAGTTCCATGTCGCTGGAGTGCCCGCGCGCCGAAACCCAAGAAGAAACGATGATGTCCCTCTGCTAAACCTACACGGCTCCTCTGTGTGCGTCCTCCCAGATAACTCAGCTTTACCCGGTGACAAGGTTCCGGCGACCCGAGACGTTGAGCATCTTTATTCAAGCTTTCAAGTCCCTCGACGTGTGGATGAAGAGGAGAGGATGTAGGGAGCATGCGCAGTGCGGGCAGGGATGTGGGGGACCTGGGAGACACCCACTGGCACCGAGATACCGTTAAAAATAAAACAACAGACACACAGTTGCATCGAAGTTTTGATTGTCAGCCTGTCCAAGAACTAGTTCTTTGTATGTCTAAAGACCCCTAAGCTCTGCCTGGATATATATCATGTATTTATTATTATTAATAAAGACATATGAGAGACTTTCTGAAGTGTACCTCTGGTTGTTATTTAGCGTGCTTATACAACAACTGCCAAAGGTTAAGTGGCAGGTGTTTCTACATGTAGTTGCATAAGCTAAAATTAGACAATGAAATCTGTTGGAGAAGATTGTTATACATTTAGAGACGTTATTAATAAGTGCCTAGAGTTTTTTTTAGCTAGCCTGAGTGAGTAAAACAGATGCCAAAGAGAGTGAAAACACAGACTGCAGAATAAAATATGTGACAGGCAGACCTTACAAAGTACATATTGTTCTCAATATATTCCCACTAGAGATGAGCCAGAGGCGCAGTTGCATCTAAACAATGAGTAACACATACGCCTGATTAATATTTCTGTCGGAACACAAGCCAAAACACTCCCAAGATGCACCTCTGACAGCAAAACATCACACGTGATATTTAACATAAGAAAAGTGCAGGTCTGTTATGTACACATAAAGACACTGCAATCAAAGTGGTGTTTTCAATTTATTCAACAATAAATAGTATCTATCTCATTTTAGCATTTACACAGTGTAAGTATAGTGCAAAATGTGACCAAATCATTTGTTCAATACATTATAGCCGACAATGCTAATCCAGTAGTTGTTCTTTGTGATATCAAAATCTGTTACAAAATAATTAAGACAGAAATTTAAAATTGTACAACAGAAGGGTACTAATCCTCTGCTGAGTTACATGTAGTTGTATCACCCAGTCTTCAGCTGTTGATATGAACAGAGGGAATATTCATTGATTTGACCTTTCAGTTCCAGTGTAGCACATAAACAATCAAGAATTAATTAATAAGAAACAAACACTCTAATACTATACTAATATTAAGTTACTATACTTAAGAATGCAATTTAAACATCTGGTAAAAGGGATCAAACAGCAGCAGTGACATCATTGTTTTTTCTCTACCCCAATGCAGACACTGTAGTATTATTAATACGGTATTAATTCAGCTCTGTGAGACACATCAAATAATATAATCACACAGTGTCTCAAGCTTATGCTACTTCAAAATGCAAAACTACAACTACGTTTCAGACCACATCAGAAAAACAAAAATAGATACATCCATTTGAATGTTCTTGTTAATTATCTGGCTGAGACAGACGAGAAAAGTCTGCCCCAAACCTTTTAAACTCTATGTATACGGATACTGAGCTGCACTCTATTTAGAAAAACGACCTCTATAGAAAACTGGAGGCATCTGATGTTACATTTCAAGAGTCGCTGCTGGCAAGTCAAACCTATAAAGTGACATTTTCACAAGGAGGTAAAATTGAAAATTAAAATGTTAGGATAACAAACTGCATCGGACAATTTGGCAATGTTGCAAAGAGAGACCATAGAGAGCACTCCACATTATCACATTAACATAAAGTACGACATCAGGCAGGCAGCATTTCCACAAGTAAATGGATGTCTGAGATAAATTTCATCAGTCTGTATTAGACAACGTCAAAGTAATTGTCAGTAGTATCTCATTACAACAATAACTAGATGTAAAAGGAGAATGGTTCAAAATATGGAAATCTAACATTTATTTTAAGATATGTCTAAGTGTTTTTAATGATTTTTTTTCCATTATGTCCCTTCTGTTTGCTTAGTGCATTATGGTCATTATGTATAAAATACCTATACATAAAAAATAAACAGATGCACGTTAGAATACAACTGCTTATTGGTACCTGTGCAGTGTGCATCTGTATTTGGCACATCTTGTACCAGAGTGGAAAATGGAGCTAAAGCAGATTTGTCGATGAGGCACTCTGTTACAGTTGCAGATAACAGTCTAAGCACTTGTGCTGATAAAGAGAGAGTGATATTTTAGTTTTTATAACTTTAGCCAAATTTTATGAAGCTAAAGGTCTAAGCTAATATGTTAGCTGCCACTCCACATAGTGGAAAAAATTCTTTCCCACACTCGATGCATTTTTTCATTTACGTAAAAAGCAGAGGAATCTGGAACATCAACCTCACATTTATCCATCGTTACAGCTTCTTTCCCAAACATACACATCCTCATAAATCTTTTCAGTATTATTTAGTATTTTCCAGTTGATACTCTATTGTTTGCATTTATAAAAACAACAATTAAAACCTGATGAGAAATATAGCATGACGATGGAAGGGTATTGAGCAGTATTTTCCCATAGAGCTGATGTGTGATTATTGAAAAATAAACTGTAAATACATACATTCCATTTGCCTGACGCTGGTTCCCAAACCACCTTGCAGCGTCATGTTACGTTTTTAGTTCGATCCCAGTGAGACTTTAATCTCAATCCCTGCCAATGCCAGTGCAACATTAACCAAAGACAGGACAGCAGTTGTATCCTGTTCGGACCAGTGTTTCCCTGTTAATGTTTTGTCTTTGACTGCATCTTTCAGTTCTGAGTAGTTTTAGATGCTACCGTTCCATCTTTGGGAGCCACTATCTTGTCTTCAGTGTCTACTTTGCCCTTTGTGGATTCTGCTTCATCCTCTTTGGGAGGGAACAACCATGCCAGAGCAGCAGCAGCTGTGCCGTCGCCACTTTGACGTGAGAAGCACAGGAAGGTGGCCCAGACGAAGGCACAGCACCCGGTGAAAGTGGTCCGCACGTATAGAGGCACCAAGGCAAAGTTCAGAAACTGAGGGAAACAGGGATTACAGTATTTTAATTCCTATTTACTGGCATATATGTTACAGATCATTCATTATTTAATATTGGATATCAGTCCCTAAAAATTCAACATACCTAGTATTACTGAGTGTGTTGTTATAAACAGACTCTTTAAGTCTAGAAAAAATGGGTTGGTGTTATGATTTGGATATTATTTGAGGGTTGCTCTACAGATTTCTCTTTCAAAATATTGTGAGGAAAACTGAATCTGGGTCACTTTGTTCTTAATTTAACAGCCACTGAAATGAACAGAAATGTGAGGAAATGAAAGATTTTAAAAGAGAAGAGAATCTATGCTCAAAGATCCACTTACTAACACACACATCGGGTTTAATCTGATAGTGAGATGTGGTTATAAATCATTAGTGAATTGATTGTTGAACTTAGATTTTCTTTACCATATATAGTTCCCAAAAGTCAAGAGTGAACATCTATGCACAGGAGATGTTGATATTTACCTGCATGAACGGCCAGAACATTAGCCCTGTCTGAGAAGAGAGACAAACAGAAAGGACACCAGTCATTTGTAGACTTACAAAATGATAAGCAGAGAACCTCTACTGACACAGCTGAAACCTTTGATGACAAAAAATAAACTTTATCTTTCAACTTTAGTGACCGAGTGGCTGAGCTGTGTTTTGGGTAAAATACAGACATGATATCTTCATCAGTAGAGCTCTTCCAAAATGAAATAAATATATGATAAATTTAGCAGTACACGTAACTGCGGATATATTGTACGTACACTGTCTCAAAAATACACTGAGCATCTGTTTTGGATGAGTGCACACTAAAGCTTCTCCTCTATTTGGAGTTGAAATGGCACAAGTTCACTATCACAACATATCACAGCTCAATCTACAGTACAGTTTAGCGACAAGCACTTCAAGATGATACCGGCAGGAAAAACATGATGTGACAGCCCGTCTCTGCTCCTTCTCACCTTATATGTATTCAAGAATTTTTCTCTCCAGTCTTCCAGGATGTCCTCTTTGCCCTCCAAGAAGCTGACACCTGGATGACACACACGACAAATGAAAGTCCATTCTCTGACTGCCAGCTGGAAAATGATTCGACTGACTGGAAGGTTTACAGACAATGGACGTATAATCATGTACACAGCATGTGCTGTATGTCTCATAGGAGATGGGAAGATAATCAATATGGCAATCAATATGTCATTAATCAATTTTTTTTCAAACTGTGTTATTGATATACTGGCAGAAACATTGCAACACATTCTCTTGAAAACATTATCCGTACAATGATAGCACATTCATTGTTTTTATTAAGCATTAGAATAAGGATTTTCTAATGTAATCAAAACGTTAAAAGGAGCATTTAACAGTGTTGTGATTGTTCGCTGGTGTAAATTACCATATAGCTATAATACACATCCGTCAGATTTAAGCTTGTGATTATATTGATGATGTCACATCTAACGTTATCTGCTGGGAGCATCGCATCTCCTCAGTGAGAGCTATGTCTTTCATGTGACCTCTGCCAGTCAAGGTTAGTTTGACGGGACAATGAACAACTGCTGATCTTTGCACCACCAGAGAAGAGCACAGAGAGCACGTGGGTCAAGTTACAAATTGACAGACATGTGATCTGCTTTGAAGTTAACTATTAACTGCCCGTGAGGCTCTCGGTGTGACCCCGGGGAGCTGTGTGTCCTCCTACCCACCGACCTGTGTAGAAGACACTGGTAGCCAGGGGCGCCGCTGTGGTCTGATCCAGAAACAGTTTCCTCATCACCATCCTGGCAGAATTGCCCGGAAACCTCCGCTCTAAGAACCGCATCCAAAAGAAATTGAAGTTGCCATGGAAACTGAACGCGACCACGGCGACGTTCCTTGTGTGGGACCAGTCCATTTTCTCCCTCCGCGAGAACCACTGGTGGACAAAGTCCCCCCCGGCGAACAGACAGCCGTACAGTGTAACGTTGGTGACCCACGGAAACCGACGGACATGTCTCAGAAACGCCTTTCGCATTATTTTAAGGTTACTGTCACACCGTGGAATCAAATATGATGTTATCAAAATGTGTTATTTAAACCAGTGGGCTGACGTTAACTAAAGGTGTGAGTTAGCTAGCCAAACGTTACTGTACTGACGGTTATACAAGCGTCATCTCTGTGATGATCTCCGCTGCATCACAAATACTGTACAGCTCTGTCCAGTTTTCGATGGATCAGCGACAAAGTATATACGTTTCTGATATGATGAAGGTCAAAAAGTATTCTAATCTCAAATAGGATACTTGCTTGTCGACCACCATCAGACACCCGGCACGGGACTGCGAGCCTGTCACCAGCCGGGTCGCCTCATTCTGCGTAAAATTACTACGCCCCTTTTGACGTAGAAAAATCAGAGTAGAGTCGAAGGGAGGAGCAACACAGAAAACCCTCAGCGACCATGGTGGTTCATCTAGAGTACCTGGACATGTCAGGACAACGTGTCAGGATTTGGTTTTGCTGTGAGAAAAATACTAGTACAAGAGATGGTTATTTGAAGAATCAATCGGGAGACCTCTTAGGACCACTGCGGGGGCTTTTACAGAGACCCGAGTGACATGAAGCTCTGCTGAAATCCACTGTGATACAGACAGAAGGCTTGTACAAATAGTGAATTTACAAGGAAGTCCGGCCAGTACCGGATTTATGAGACCAACACCGATACTGACATTAAATTTAAAAAAAAAAATCTAAGATATGTTTGCTGAGAGTAATCTCTATATTAACTGTAAAGGGTACTATCTATATGCTACCATAAATACAGACATAATGCAGATTTTACACATGGATGAATGTTTGAAACAATTTAGTTTGTACTAAAGGACAAACTAAGAATGGACACGCTGTCTCTAAATTACTTCAAAAATGTCTTTATCATTCCTGTGCTGCTGTTTCTTGACATGCACCATGCCAACATCTATGGCAAAACCATAAGCCAGTCTATCTGTCAGGCTCTAACCTGTAATGTGATATACAGTAATACCCACTAATTACACTGTTCTTAAATGGCATTGGACCAAGTGGGTGGGAGAACGTCTATTCTTCTAAGTGCTGAACTCATGAAAAATTCATTTCCCACCCTTTCCACCAGCTCCATTTACTCAGCATTTCAAACTAGATTTGGCCATTTACATTTATTTAGCAACAGGTACAGCATGTCCACAAGTTGCAACAAGTTGCACTAAATGCTTTAAGCACCCTGCAACCTTCTGAATAACACAACTGATGAAAAGGCCTTATACAGTATATGATTTTCATTTTTAACCATTTCAAAAAAGACAAAACTAATTAAATTGCTTTGTTTTTTTTTTGCTTTTGAATAGAATCTGTATCATCCCTTGCAGATTACCATACACTTTACACATGCAATTTTCTAAAACATACACATTCATAGCCAAGTATACAGCATCATCTAGAGTATGTAATGAAATATCATATTTCACTCTCATCAGGAAGGTGCACTTGTAGAGAAAAATAAACTTTGTTCAACTCTTCAACAATGCAGAGCTTAGCAATTAGCACTCTCTTCACTGTTTTAAACAAAGTGCCAAAAGAAATTAATTTCTTCATTGTTGCTGCATCAAATACCCATCTTTAATTACTCCTCACCAGTAGGTCAAAGTCTATATTTAAGAGCCATATAGATATTTTTACGTATATGTTTTAGCCTGTTAACTACAAATCATGCATATATTTCAAAAGTATAAATCTTTAGGTTGATTTCTGATCGAAATGTATTGGTTTCGGACTTTTGATTAGGTAAAGATCAATCAGAGCTTGACACTTGCGGTAGTCTAGGCAATCATTGGCTTTGTCTAATTTTTTTTGGTAGTTATGTTATCATAATACACTACTTGTTGGTTCATTCAGGTACATGTGGGAAATGTCAACCACTGAAAAGCAACCAATTACTTCATTCTTCAAATCATATAATCATTTGCTCCTATTCACAACATCCATGTAATTCTGTACATGTATAAACTGAACTTATACTTTGGAAAAAGTTCAGCAGGTGTAGTTATTAGGCTAAAAAAAAACAAACAATAAAATAAAAATCAATAGATCAAAATACTAAAGCATAGGATATTGACCTTGACTTACTGCAACACAGCAGGAGGTGTAAGGTGCAGACTTTAATGCCACCTCATAAGAGTGAATATTAACTATGGCAGGCATCAAAAGAATCCCTTATTCTTCCTCTGTCCTCTCTACTGGACCAGCCAGATGAGTCAGGAGAACCACTCAGCAGACACATGATCCAGTCTGGGGTCACCTTCTTGTTAAGACACAATGAATAAAAAACAGACAGCGAGTGGCAGGGTCACAGTGTATCCAATTAACTGAGAGGCAAAAATAGTCTGGTTCCATGTTAAGGTTTAGTGAAAAATGGGAGTAGGCCTCTATGACTGGACAGCCCTCTCCCAGTCCCCCCTCTCAGTCCTGCGGTAGAGCTGCGGTTGACCCCCAGGAAACAGGCTATCAGGGTTGGGGTGCTCTAAAAGGAACCGGATGGTGGACTTCATGTGCTGGACGAAGTGTGGCGGCTCAGCCATCGGAGAGGTGGACAGGTACTGAGCAAGAGCGAGAAAGACCAGGGTTAAAAACAGTTTTATGCCACTTATTAGAGCGCTTTGTTTCACCCATTTTGGGAAGTGTTTGTGTCAGAAGAGAACCCCTGCATGAAAAACTAAAATTACTGCTTTGCAGTTGTATGCCACCACCAACCAGGTGCAGGAAATATGGTCACAATCTCTCCTTGTGTTCCTGAGTTACTGCACTGAATAATGGCCAGAAGTGTTTTTACAGAACATTATTACAATGTCACAGTGAATTTGACTTTTGACCTGGCGGATATATTACATCATCACTTCATCATTTGATCCTATTAGATATCTGTGTTAATTTGGGACATAATTAGTATACAAATTGAATCATGGTCAAAAACATGCTTTGGGACATCAGTGATTTTGACCTTTGACCTTTGACCACCTAAATCTAAGCAGTTCATCCTTGAGTCCAAGTGAATGTTTGTAAACTCCCGAAAGGCGTTACTGAGATATCATGTTGACGAGAAAAGCGCAGACAGACATAGGAGTCGCCAGCACAGTGGCATAAAAAATATTTAGCTATGTAAAAAGGACGATAAAAAAAAAAAAAACCTTTACCTTTAAAATTGTGTCGTCACTTTGTGACAACCAGAAGGCAATATCCAGATTTGGAGACCATTTGCAGGGGCCAATTTTCACAAGTCCCCGACTTGAGTCATATATGTCAACCATCTGTAAGGAAAAAAGACATTTTATTAATGATCTATAATTTTTGCATTCATCCTTTACTTTTGAGTCTTCTACTGAAACTGTGTCCCCAAGTGTAATCTGAAAAGTATGTTAAAATATTTAAATATTTGGACAATGAACACATTGTTAATTTTAGAAAAAAATATCAGGTTGCTGAAACAATTAGTCAATTAAACAATCTACAGTTTGTATAACAGATCAATCTTATAAATAATTTATCAACAAAACAGTTGAAAAGGTCTCTGTTTCCAGTTTCTCCAATGTGACAATTTGCTGCGTTCTCTCTTTTATACCTTTGTAATTTAAATATCTTTGGATTTATTAATAGTAGTTAGACAAACAAATAATATGAAAACTTTCCCTTGGGCTCTGGGAAAGTTCAAGTATTTCCAGACATGTAATAGATTGACTGATTATTCAGTTAAATGAAGAAATAATCAGATTAATTAATAATGAAAATATTCATTAGCTGCAGCCCAACTTAAAATAATGTTTTTGTATCACACAAGTGGAATTTGTTAACACAGAAATGTCCATATTATTCACAGAAAACAAACTTGGTATTATAGATCACCTGTTCCCCAGTGAAGGTCCGTGCTGATCGCAGCTCCTCTGCAGGTCCTTTATGAGCGAATGACGAAGGGAACACATCCCCTGTTTTAACATTTACACCTGTGCAGAAACCAACATAGACACAATATATTAAAGGTCATATGCCATGAAGACATTGCACCGTTCTTGCTCTTTAGCATATTCATCACTTACCTATTCCATATACTATCGGTCTGTGATTTCCATCAACAACAACGTCATTCATTTCTACAACAAAAGAGAACAGAAGGGTTAACTGGATGAACGTATGATTGGTAGGATATTTCTAAACAATATGAAAAAAGTAACATGAAAGTATTAAAGCCACCTGTGATGCAACATATTTCCAGATGAATGTCCTCTTTCTGTTTCTGGAATGCTGCTGTAAAGAGGAAAAGAGTCCTTTAAGTTTTACAAAGTTCAAATGCTGTCGGCATAATTTTACAATGACACATGAGATAGTTTAGAGGACTATACCCAGTATGTTAAGGCTGAGTTTATGGGATGTCTTTGACTCATCATTAAATCCCCCAACGAGATGGAGCTCAAGTCTACATAACAGAAAGCAAAGGAAAGAAGAAAGAGATTTTAAAATATTTGAAAAGGAAGCTCAAATTGAGTGATGTGCACCGTTACCATGTGTGTTTGTCTGAGTGTTTCATACCTTCCCTCCTTGCTCACGTTGTTACTCAATGATGTGACAGCCTTCACAAGGAGCGGCACTTCAGACCAAGTGCTGGACCCATCACAGTGAGCGATGCAAACAGCTCCACTTCCTAAGAAATAATACAATTCAACCATGGCAGTAATTAAAAATGCTGTTACAAACTGTATACATTGGCAGAATAAAGCACACAGCATAAACCTAATGAAAGGAACAGTACCGGTGTGTCGCAGCACAACCAAATGGCAGGTGGTGGCATCATCAGATCCAATTACTGAAACACAATCTGTGAAAGATGGGATAAGAAAGCATGTATTACCATCATGATCCAGAATGGTTAACCTGGAGAAGTATTTGGGAGTCAGTTAGAGGTGTTGTAATTGAAACATTTCAGACCTAACTGTCTAACCAGACCAGTGCTCCTTATTCAAAAAATGTGTTGTGGCTAAACTTACTGCATTATGGACAACTGAGGCTGCTGCTGATGGAGACAAAGTTACCTCTGTCTCTTCAATGATGGATTGTTGAAAATCAATGCAAATTGCTGGGGCCTATTATCCTAAATTTTACAATTTGATTTGTATCTTAACAAGATTTGCTATATAATTCAGAATAACATTTGTTTGATGGAGAAAAGAGACGAGTTGATATTTAGATGATCTGTTTCCATCATGTATAGCTTCACTTACTGTCTGCTGGTGTTGTTGCAGCAAACTCTCTCTGTTGGACATACAAGAGGCACTTTGGGTCGACATCGACAAGCGGCTTGGAGCGAAATGTTCTTGCGTTTTCCTGTGACATAAGAGTTAAAAGTATAATTTAGCACAAATGTCAAAACTGATGCTGGCCATTGCAGATTTGTTACAGTGAAACCACTACACTGTAGGTGTAATCATTTAGTCATTAGTGTTACTTCATAGGTATTAATACAGACTGTAAACCTTCAACTTTGGGCTCTGGTTCGTTTTATTATTAATTGACAATCCTTGTCAATGTCATTTTACAACATCTTTCATCATTTAATAATAAGACAGGAGTCATCAAAAGTTTCAAACATTTCTCATTTAAGTGATATTTCTATTTCTTTTTTTAGGAACATGCACGGAATTTACAATTAGTTACACAACTTTAGATGTAACAAGATATGATTATATGATAGTATGCTTTATCGTCCATTACCGATTTGCGTTTACCACCACATCTCACAGCCCAATCCAGTAATACGTTCTCGTTAGCATTAACCGCCAGTTTGTTATGAAGCGATTAGCTACTTTAAGAAAAAAATACTGTTAATAGGGGATGACAGTTTCTCAGCAAGCTAAATTTAGCCACACTTTCTGGGAACAAACCTGTAAATGTGGATATTTGTCGAACAGTTCCGCTGTCGCACTTATGCGCTCTAGTCCTCTATTTTGAATTAACAAAGGCATTTCCCTGAAGCAAGGTCCACTTTAAAATCAGCTGGTTACCAAACTATTATAAAGATCAGTAACTTCATATTCTAATAGCTGAATGTCTCATATTATCCACATATCGCAGCAACCACAGGACCAGTTCGTCGGCTGTAACTTCCTGGCAAGCTTTCTTCTTCTACGGTTTCCTCCTAAAGAGAGGCTCATGGTTTCTGATACACCGCCACCAACTGTTAAAAGGCACGAATACCCACACCAATCGAATGCACCATTTTCACTAGGCGAACATTTGACGTAGTGTTGGTTCTATCGAAACGAAGCTACGTATAATTACTAGTGGGAGTTACGTCGCCAAAGAGGGCAGGGTTGGTAGAACCAAGGCAGTTGTTTAGTTCCGTGACGCATACAACAGTTGCTTGCTAAAGTCCGTTTTAAGCGTAATTATCGTCGGATAACTGTACATTTAGAAGCTAATGAAGCCTCCGACATTTTTGCAAGCGTAAATTGCGCATATTTTGCCTTACAGTGCGAAACGTAAACAATCCGGTGTCAAAGTTAAAGCTAACGTGTCAAATACAGAGGATAGTACAGTGACTCTCGCCAACATGAGAGGAGGTTCGTCCTATGGAGACAGAGACAGGGACCGTGGACGAGACAGGTAACTTTTTAGTTTATATATGGAAACAACACACACATATTTACCACGGAATGAAGGTTGCATAATGTCTATGCATCACAGGAAGTTTGACCCAAGGCCATGGCTGTTTTAAGACTCTAGTATTCTCTGAGCAGTGTGAGCCGATAGCAGGAGAGCAGAGAAGCACAAACCTCCTCACCGCCTCTCTTCAGTCTGCTGTTTACTTTCACAGAAAAAACAGTCACAGTTGACATGGCAGTTATATAAGTGTAAGATTAACCTAAAATTGACCTTAAGGTGGCGCCTGGGTAAAGGTCTGGTTGTAAACAAAGTCTGTACATTTGGCCTGATGGTGGCGATAAAGGTGTGGTCACGAAGTCATCAAAATTAGTTTGTGTCTTCCGCAGGAATGAAAAAGTTACACAGTAAATTTTCTGGCAGATCTCAAGGAACTACATTCAAACCCTTCAGACCAGATTGTGAAAACTCTTTGTTTTAATTGTCCTTGAGATGTGTCTTGACTTTGACTGGAGTACATCTGTGTTAATTTAATTGATTGAACATAGTTTAGAAAGGCATACACCCATTAGCTACACATTAGCTCACACAATTCACACTGCATGTCGAGATAAAAATCATGTCATGAAACTAAGTCATGAAATCCAAGGAACTCTCTGTAAACCTCCATGATAAAACTGCATAGATCAGAGTAATGGTATAAAACTATTTCTAAAACCTAAAGTGTGCCCAGGAGCACAGTGGTCTTAATATTTGTGAAATGGAAGAACCACCAGGACTCTTCCTAGAGTTGGCCATCTGGCAAAACTGATAAACCATGCAAGAAGGCCTTGGTCAGGGAGGTGACCAAGATCCCAAACGGTAACAGATGAAAGCCACTCTGAAGCGCATGACAGCCCACTTGGAGTTTGTAAAGACTTACCCAAGAAGACTCAAACCTGTAATTGCTGCCAAAGTGGCCTCTACAAAGTACTGAATTAAGGGTCTGATTACTTTTAGTAAATTAAGAGATTTTTAACAAATTTTCACTTCAGTGCAAACTAAGGGGCAAAAATTTAAATCCAGGTAAATAAAAAACACAATAAATTATGCAAAAAATGATTAGGTCTGAATACTTTCTGAAGCTGCTGTATGTCAATTGTTAGATTTATGGTCTGCTGTCTGAGCTGTCCATTTGCTCTGGAAACATTACATTCATCTCAAACACTCAGCTGAAAATCATCACACTAGTTGGTTTTACAATTTTTGTGACGTTGTGTATCGAACTACAAACTGGCACAAACAAGATGTTATAACATACAAATGCAAATTAGTAGGTCTGGTTGTCTTTGTGCAGTATCAGACTTCATTACATAACTACACTTATAGATCACACTAGTGCACCTAATGTCTTGACCCTTATTTCTCAGGCCACGGTTCGGGACCATGAGTGGTCGCGGTGGACCCCCCCCAATGAAGTTTGGGAATCCAGGTGAGCGTCTCCGCAAGAAAAGGTGGAACCTGGACGAGCTGCCAAAATTTGAGAAGAACTTCTATGCCGAACACCCTGAGGTCCAACGCATCAGTCAGGTGAATTTCAAATCTAGATACCAGACAGTATTCTGAATAATATTAATATATATTAACCATGTCCACATATACGTTTGCTCTTTTTTCCTCTTTTGCTGTCGTATCCAGTATGAATTGGAAGAGTATCGCAGGAAGAAGGAGATCACCATCAGAGGCTCTGGCTGTCCAAAACCGGTCACCGCTTTTCACCAGGCGCAGTTTCCTCGTTAGTAAACCACACATTACACTTATTACAATGTCTGTACAAATAATCTCTGGGAAACAGTACAATACACTATTGAATCACTTCTGACGCATCTAGGGACTTCACAATGTCATTGTTTTATTTTTTAGCCACTTACATGATGAATTTAAACAAAGTAATACAACCAGTCGAAATGAAACGAAACAAAATGTTGCAATGTTAGTGAAATGTGTTTTACAAGGATCAGTGGTATGTTTATTGTTCCTCTGATGTAATGATCGACAACTTAAGTAACAGCCTTGTTGACTGTCACCCTGCATCTTCTGGCAGAGTATGTGATGGATGTGCTGATGCAGCAGAACTTTAAGGAACCCACAGCGATTCAGTCTCAGGGTTTCCCTGTGGCCCTGAGCGGCAAGGACATGGTGGGAATCGCACAGACTGGCTCTGGAAAGACACTGGCTGTAAGGATACCTGGCTATCATAATACTGCATGATGATGACCCTTTAGTTTAGTGTAGTAGTAGTACTTTCACAAGATAGAGAAAGAAAGAGAGTAATGCACTATAGGAGAAATGCAACATAAAGTCAAGAACAAATGCATATGAGGAACAGCAGCACAACTGCAGAAGGACAGAGTTTGGATAATATGAGAAGATGAAATACTATCTTTCATAGGAGAATGAATTGGTTTGCTTGATTTCCTGTTGCCCAACATCTAACTAATTGTCTTTTGTGTGTTGCAGTATCTGCTTCCTGCTATTGTGCACATCAACCATCAGCCCTATCTGGAGAGGGGAGATGGTCCCATTGTAATTACTTACACCAAACATGTTACTCTGTTAGATGAAGTGTTTAATCTGAGCAGACAGACAGTGTGTAAAACCCTTCCTCCTCTCTGCTCAGTGTCTGGTGCTGGCCCCGACCAGAGAGCTGGCTCAGCAGGTTCAACAGGTTGCATATGAGTATGGCAAGTCTTCTCGTATCAAAAGCACCTGTGTCTATGGTGGAGCACCCAAAGGACCACAGATTCGAGATCTTGAGAGGGGTGGGTATTCACAGCCTTTACTGAAAAAATTCTGTTCAGTATATTTGTGTACTTTTTAGTGTAGTTGACTTTGAAAACTTAACACTAAAATGTTGTGGCAATACCATATTGTTGATAAAATAGAACATTATATTTCATTCATGCAAAAACACAGAACCATATCCTGGTATGTACATGAACTATACATCAGTGTAGAGCTGACTCTTTGATGTGTGACTGCCACAGTTGTTGCCTGGTATCACACACACGCACAGGACTGCTCACAAAGAAAGTGTTGAACACAATCAATCTGTTAGTGAAATGCTCAGCATGAGCACATGTTGATATGTTTATCTCTTTTTGACATGGTGACTTCGTATATCTAGGTGTTGAGATCTGCATCGCCACACCTGGTCGTCTTATTGACTTCTTGGAGGTGGGAAAGACGAACCTGCGTCGCTGCACCTACCTCGTGCTGGATGAGGCTGACCGCATGCTGGACATGGGCTTTGAGCCACAAATTCGCAAGATAGTTGAACAAATCAGGGTAGGAGAACGTCTTAATTACCATGATTACTGAATTTAACATGAATGTAGATCTTATAAATCAGCTGGATGCTTTCTCTCTTTCTGTCTCTCAGCCTGACAGACAGACTCTGATGTGGAGTGCAACCTGGCCAAAGGAGGTTCGGCAGCTTGCTGAGGACTTCCTGAGGGAGTATGTCCAGATTAATGTTGGTGCTCTGGAGCTCAGTGCCAACCACAACATCTTGCAAATAGTCGACGTCTGCATGGAGACTGAAAAGGACAACAAGTGAGGACAGCCACTGGGAATATATCGGACTTAAATGACATCATGTTATGATTATCATTCTGCCATAACTGCTATAATAGAGTTACAGAACATGAGCCCATACTGTCACACAGTTAAAACTGAGCTCAGTACTGTTGATGTGCTGTGAGTGCCTCTCTCTATCTACAGACTTATTCAGCTGATGGAGGAAATTATGGCTGAAAAGGAAAACAAAACCATCATCTTTGTAGAGACCAAGAAGCGTTGTGATGATCTTACCAGGAGAATGAGGCGGGACGGGTGAGGAATTACTGATAACATGATGACACAACATGATGACAGTAGTCGTAGGATGAATTATGCAAATATTTGATAGACAGAAGGTGTTCACAGTGTAATATTGCCACTTTGTGGTTTTGTGTTCTAGGTGGCCAGCCATGTGTATCCATGGAGACAAGAGCCAGCCAGAAAGAGACTGGGTGCTCACAGGTAAGAATACATCTAATGCAATTCTACCTCTCTCCTTCCCTTTGTTGTAGATCAGTGTCTTGCCTAAACTGGCAGTTCATTTGTCTGGAATAGTATGGAGTAGTTAAAACTGTTCTGTCCAGCGACTGTTCATCAATAGTTATTAGTTTAAAGTTACTATTTTTTCAAGTTACTCTACTCACTGTTGCCTGAGTTGAGCATGAGCTTAGATGTTCATCTTTTTCTTCAGTTTATTTTGTTTAATTCCACAGAATTTCGGAGTGGCAAAGCTCCTATCCTGATTGCTACTGATGTCGCCTCGCGTGGTCTGGGTATGTCTCCTCACACACACAGTCAATGCTGCATAATCTCACACAATCGTCTCTTCTCTCCTTGTTTTGGTGTTTTTCCTGTACTGTTTTTTTTCTTTAAGCCATAGTTTATTAAACGTAATAGAATAACAGATGCAGCTAATATGGTCACATTGCTGAGATCAAATAGAACTTTTTTTGCCGATTATTTTTTGACCAATAGGTAAGTATACTATGAATCAGTAGACCAGCTACGACATTGACAGCAACCCTTTATTGCCTCTATATAGAGAAGTACATATACATCAATGCATATCACACATTGAATAAAAACAAAAACATACTTTTATTGTGTAAATTTGTTCCTTTTGATTATTTTCAAGTGATATTATGACAGTTTTTATGCAGGATATCACACTAGGAGCCAGTAAAATATGTAGTAATGCTGTTCACCAAAAGTGTGAAAATTCACAGAAGGTGCAATCAGTGATGTACAGTGAAATGAAACGAGCACATTACATCGAAGGACTCCCCGTATTATTGTAACCTGACAGTTTAATGAACTGTAACGTCCAGTAGGGAGGCTGCAGGCCTTCTGGTTCACTGGGTTTATAGTCTGTTTCTTGTTACTGCAGTTAAAAAGCTTCCTTCAACCGGGGCTCTTTGGCACGCTGCCTGAAGGGAGGGGTGTCTGGGGCAGATGCTCCTGCACACCTTTTCTCATGTCTCCTTCATGGTGTCAGTACAAATTTACTGATGATGTTGCTGATATATCACATTTCTCCACACAAAATAGTAAATTAGTTATAGCAAGTAGTTGTTCTGCAAAAGGATGCATTTTGTTATGTTTTGCAGATGCATATGTGCAGGACAGTGACAGAGACATCAGGAAGGCTAATGTGAGAAGGGGGGATAAGTGAAGTGTCTTTGACTTGCCAAAATTCCTATGACCATATCCTTGTTTTTTTTCCCCTCTTCTCCTCTCAGGGTTTGGCAGCACACGGCAGCTGTAACAGTCTGCGCTGCTGTCACTGCCCCCCTCAGTCACGTTAAAGTAGAGGCTTGGCTAGTTTTAGAAGGGTTAAAGCCCCTCTTATTCTTCTTGGTTAACTAAGATCCCCCCTGCCCAGTATTGTCAGAGTTTGTAAATCCAACGAGCCTTCCTTGGGAGCAGCCTGAGGTGCCTGTATGTCTGCCCATCGGTCCGTCCCAAAAAGCAGACAGACAGGGGAGAGAGTTAGACGGGCTCGTCTGGATCCAGTCCTGGCCAGGGTCTGAGGAGGGTCCTGCAATGCAGCGAGAGAGCAACAGAACCAGCCGTTGTGTGTGTGTGTGTGTGTGTGTGTGTGTGTGTGTGTGTGTGTGTGTCGGTGTGTGTGTGTGTGTGTGTGTGTGTGTGTGTGTGTGTGTGTGTGTGTGTGTGTGTGTGTGTGTGTGTGTGTGTGTGTGTGTCTCGTGTGGTTAAACGGTTCTGCTCCCGTCTGACGTTGCTGGTGTGCGCAGAATGTGAGGGATGAATCCTGTCTCCCTCCCCCTCAGCCCCTCCCTATGAACCAGGACTGATCAGGGGGGACTGACTACCTTTGTAAAAACATCATGAAGGGGGTAAGTACCTCACCGCCCCTTTCTCTCAACTCCTCCATGAGCTCACCATACATTCCATCGTGCCCATATTTTAGTCAAACGGACCATTGTCACTCTGTTATTCAGTAGGTATAGGTGATGTAACAGCTTCCCTCCCTATGGAGGGGAAAAGGGAGACTTATTGATCAGCAGTGCTGTCAGAGCCCCACATCTTCTGTAATGAGAAACAGACTGTGTCTTCACACATTTTGACCAGTTATCACGTTGGTGTGAAGATTACAAAGCCTTCACATGCTCACTGCACGCCAAGTGAGCATGAAACCCTGAAGTCAAGTTCATCTTTAACTGTATTGGATTTAAATGAGTTACACTGGTGTTTAACTGAAATGAAACCTTGGATGTGTGGATTTTTGCACAGTGTCTGATACAGCAGGTAAGTTACTCTTTTTGTCGAGTTTTGATTTCTAACCTAAAATATTTTAGCAATCTTCTGTATAGTAAAAAATTTAGATTAGATTTAATTGTAATTTATTTAAATAAAAACCATCAGCTCTTGGATTTGAATGAAAATGATCAATTTTTTCCTCTCTTGAGATGATCATCTTTTTTCTTTCCCTATCCTGTAAAACGGATCATTCCTTATCCAAAAGACGTGGAAGATGTCAAGTTCGTCATCAACTATGACTATCCCAACTCCTCTGAAGATTACGTCCACCGTATCGGGCGTACGGCCCGTAGTACCAACAAAGGCACTGCCTACACCTTCTTCACCCCAGGGAACCTGCGGCAGGCCCGAGACCTTGTCCGGGTGTTACAGGAGGCCCGGCAGGCCATCAACCCAAAACTGCTTCAGCTTGTGGACTCGGGCCGTGGTGCAGGAGGAGGTAAGAAAGGAAGATATATCACAGTTCATCACACTGTAGAATGGAATAGATGGGAACGGAGATGTGTTTATAGATCTGAAGAGGAGAGGTAGAGATCTACAGGTTAAAACTGTGTTGATGTTGCATTTGTTTTTTGTTACAGGTGGCAGAATGCGTTACCGTGGCAGCAACTCCAACAACCCTAACCTAATGTACCAGGAAGAGTGTGATCGCCGCATGCGCTCTGGTGGAGGTGGTGGTGGCAGCAAAGACAACCGCAGCGGCTTCAGCCGTGACAGCCGCAACAGCCGCGATGGAGACCGCTCCACTTCCTCCTCCTCTTCCTCATACAGGGACAGAAGTCGGGATCGCAGGAACAGTTACAACTCGGGCTCAGATCAGTACCAGAGTTACAGTGGCAGCGGGGGCTACAACTCCCGCAGCGGTGGCCAGTCTGCTGGCGGTGGAGGTCAGGATCAGTCTAGCCAGCCACAGGGTCAGTTTGGCCAGCTTCTTCCTCCTCCGCCACCAGGTGGGCCGCAGCCCCTCATGGCGCAGCAGTTTGCTCCACCACAGGCCCCGCTAATGGGCTTCATGGGGCCACCACCGTACCCTTTTGCCTCACCGCCCCCTCCTCCTCCAGGCCCTCCACCCCCCCGGAAGTAGAATTATGAGAAAGAAGCACTGAGTCAGTCTGTGCAACTTAGTGTGCTCACAGTGTAACTTTATTTTTACTCTCCAACTCTTGTTTACTCCACGATTGAGGGGTTTGACAAGGTCATATACCTATGGAGGTAAGGGCTTATATTTTCTATTTTGTACTTTTTTATAAAACCCAACATGGAATTAAACATTTTCCACCACCACACTGTGGACTTCACCAGTTTGTTGTCCATCTCTAGCTCAAGCTGTGCCTTTTATCAGATGTATTACAATTTGTTTAGAATGAAAACAAGCACATACTCAGGCCTCAGTGGGTGTTTGAGGGTGCTGGTCTATGGGCAAAATAATGTCTAATAGATACCATCACATTCCAGTCATGTTTTTCTCTAGCTTCAAAATCCTTGAATGAGACTTTTTTTTTTTTTGACCAGCAATATATTTCAATTGTTGCATTTTGGATTTGTGTTATTCTGAATATTTTTTAATGAATCCTCTGCAATAGTTTGGATTTTATGCAACCAATATTAGGTTTTTTTGGTGTAATGAGCTGTCACACTAGGTTTGAATACATTTGTCATGCATGCCTTTACCTTTTCCTGTCTTGTAGCATGTCAGAATGGATATGTCCATATTTGCTTGTAACTGTTTAACTCATATTTTATTAAGCAGATCAGCTGATGCAGGCTTGTTTTCATGCACATTGATAACAAAATTACAGTTTTGTTTCTTGTTTCCTCTTAAACTCATTGTGCTCTTTTTACAGTGTTTTCTTAATAAATAAATAAATCAAAGCTTTATTTTCTACTGAGCAAGTTATTGATCAAATTATTTGTACGTCAAGTGAATTCCCTGTACAAATGACTTTATTTGCCTTAAATACACAGTTGTAGTACATCCTCATTTTGTACCCAGCAGTATGTACATGTGCTGCTTTGATTGGTAAATATACATAATGGCATGAAGCTTTCATTTACAGTAGGAGCACAGATAGACATGACTTTTTCCCTTCCTCAGAAATATATATAGAAAGGCCTCACCACTCTCCCTCCTCCAGTAGCTAACACTGAGTTTTGTGTATCATTTTGTTGTGTATCAATCTGAAAAATCTGGATCCAGTTTTAGTTTCCTAAGTTGTTTGTCGTGTTTTTCTTGTCAGTCCAAGTGAATGTGGGAGGTCCAGTCTGATCCATATATTCCAAAGCTGGGCAAGGGTGGTCACACTGTGCTTGATCATGTTTGAGTGAAGTGTTCTGCAAACTGTACCATAGAAGTTATGAAAGGGGAAAAAAAAAAATTGTGCCCTTAAATGGACCTCAGTTAATAAACAGACATGAAATGGGAAGGTTATAACTGGTATGACGGCATGTAGCTCAGGGGTAGTTATTGCATCAGTTTGACATGTATTTGGATCCAAACACAGAGATGTTGCCAAAACCTCTACAAGGTCAAGAAGCAAGAGTTACAGCCCTTCAGTCTGTTGTTCCCAAAAGTTATTCCAAAAGAAGTGAGACTTTACCAATTTGAACATTCAGTCATTAAAACTACTCAAGTCATAAAGTTACTAAGCTACTTCTTGTCGTTCTTTTGGCAATGACAAAAGGCAAATTTGCATGTGTGACTTGAATAAAAATACTGATCTGAGAGTGACGATTTAAACCTGTCAAACCTGTAACAGCCCCCTCAATGCATAGTTTACGATAAATCATGCTGGGAGATGCGAATATTCATTATTTACAATCTGATCGATCAATGAAAGACTGAAAGGTTGTCACTGAGGCCACTTTTTGTCTCATTATTGCTCTTCTTCTGCCACAAGTTAGCTAAATTAAATGGCTAATTTATAGTATTATAAAACTGCCCGTCAGACTGATTAATGGCACTGTACCATGTAACGAACATTTACTGATATGAAAACTAGCACTTGCTTTCAAGTATGTTAAAATGAGTAAATGTTGCTCCGCATGGATCCCTCATAATATCATGAACAGAAGCTCCAGCTTTTGTCTCTACTGTAGTTACACACACTTCAGTTTCACATGTACTTCAGAATCTTATCTCTCAGGTGGAATCAGTCTGCCTCCAATCTTACTTTATTTTATGACCCTAAGAAGTGATCATAGACCCGTGCGCCAATCAACTCATGACCACGGATATTCAGATGATCATGTAACATCATTTGTTTCACAGAGTCTTTGCTGATAAGGACATGGACATATGAAAACGATCAAACCAGTCATTTGTATACATATATGTACAAAGCAAATGAAAATCAAAGGTTTCATCTCAGGCACATGTGGTAGAATCAAACTGGATGTCAGCGATGTCAGCTCAGGACTTCACATGTCCCTCTTTGGGTCAATCGACAGTAGAAAGGCAGCAAATGAGGAATGACAAGGTCAAAGGGAATGGTTTCATGTGCAAAATTTAAACAAAATAAGTGCATGTAAAGTTCAGGTTGAGTAAGAAGAAAATTACCAAATCAAAATCCTGAGTGAAACATAATGTTAAATAGTGTCCCAATCTTTTGAAAACAAAGAAAAGTGCAGAAATAAAAAAAAAAAAAGCTAAATTTTAAAGGGGCAGAGATTCAGTGCCCTACCTTCATGGGCCTTTTTCACACGAGACACTGGCACATCAAAATAGGAAAAAGCAGAGATATAACTAATCAAATGAATGATGGCTGAATTCCATTTAGCTGCTTCAGTTTCAGGGTCCTGGTATTGTACATGCTGACTCACTGGCCCACTGTATTGGCTTCCTGGGACATGGTGACATTATTAATGTTGCTGCTGTGAAAAAGCCCTACTGCCAGAGCTTAGACACACACTGCCAAACTGTTATCTTTCACACAGTATGTTAAAACCAATACTTAAAAACTATGTATCAAGTCATCATGTATGCTCCTTGGATAATTTGGTTTTCCCAGTCCTTTTACAGTTATTACATCATTTCCGATCCTTTCCTCATACTCTGATCTGTCTTCATTAGATCAAAAGAAAACCCACTATAATGGTTTAAATTGTGGGAGTTGACAGTTACATTTAGTTTGATTATTTCCATTTGCAACCCTGTGCTTGACAAATAAACAACACAGTTTACATTATGGGGTGAAGAGGTTTTCCAGTAAGTTGCACATGATTCAGTTTGACTGCTGCCCCTCTTCCTGAAAACACTGTTGCTGAAACAATGAGAAAAAGAATCAATTCTTCATTTGAAAAGGAAAACAACTTCAGTTCCGATAAGTTATCAGGTAAAATGGCGACTATTCCATATCATGAACTGAATGTATTTGAGTTTTTTGGCTTTTGGTAAGATTGTTCACACTTATAAAATAACACTTTAAGCATTAGCTGACTTTAAGTTTAACTGAGAAACAGTATTGATGGACAGAAATAAAAAAAATGACTTTCTCTGACACTCAAAATAAACACTGGACACACAAGTTGTGACAATACTCTGAATATGTAACATTTTGAATCCCAGGTTAGGTATGCATCAGACACTCGCTTCAGATTGAGCTTTGGGTTTTGTAAATAAAAAAAATAAAAAAAAAAGAAATAATGTCAAACGCCAGCTGTTACATGTAATTCACATGACATGGGACGAGCAGACAAATGCACATATTCGTTTTTTTTTTTTTTTTTTTAAAGGCTCAACATGTTTTTCCAGAAGTCACTGCATAGAGTCAGTGTTTCTGACAGTTTGCTATATCTCTCTGCGTTGAACTGATTGTTGGAAGAGGAGAAAGTAGGTACAGAACACAGGAACACGGAGATGATGGAATAAAGACAGGAAGGCTGTGAAGGAAGGCACAAGGTAGAAGCTGGCTCCCACAACTGGTCTCATGTCAGTTTGTATTATTAAACTTTTGAAAGCCACTGACGTGTTAAGAGGCCATCTTGCCTCTGCCAGTGATGAGGGACAACTTCAACCTAAATCTAAAAGGAAGCAGCAGATCAGATGACAGGAGGGTGGTCCCTCTCATTAAAGGTTCCCCCAGGTGTTCGGAGGGGGAAACTGGTCCACATCACCAGATTCGTCATGAGATTTGTCCCCCAGGTTGAATGTTAATTTGTACCGCAAACGTACTTTTTCCTGAAACCGAAACACATGTCAGATCAAGGTTACATCACCAGCAATGATGAAGCAAATCTTTGCTGCCAAGTTTCCTTGTAAACAAACAAAAGGGTTGAACAAAGACTACCTTGTGAGGGTTAGCCAGTAGCAGGATCTGTGTGATGGCGGCTGGAGGCAGGATGGGATTGAAGGCTGGGAGCTCAGTACTAGAGGGAGGCTGCAGCTTCACTTTCATCACCTAGGCAACATGGACACATTCACACACACAAATACACTTAAAAGGTTATAACAGATATTTTCAAAACAACTCTTTATCAAATAACAACATGAAGACAATATAACAATCTGAAAGGTGTTGATTGTAGAGAATACACAAGAAATTATCACTTGAATCTGCAGCTTCCCTCGGTTTTACAGCGAATTTCAGCTCATTGTTTAGCGGTATGATCCACAACTGAACTGTTCAACTCGTTCACTCTCACTGCTCTCCTGGCGTCATTTTGCGCTGCAGCAGTCAGCTGTTTTCAGAAAAAAGTTCTAAAAACCCACTGTACACTAGCTGCTCAGCACCAAGCAACTAACTGGTTAACATAGTGGAGCATGTAGCAGCTAAAGAGACAGATATTTCCTCCAAGAGTTGGTAGAGACCAAAAACAGAGCTAAAAAAGAAGGAAATATTGGAGCTGTTTAACAGGTGGCCAGAAACACAAATTCATTATCTCAGTATTCAGTATCTGCTGGATGTATTGATTAGCAACTGTCTGCCCCCAAGTGGCCAAATAAAATTTGCAGGTTTAACAAGTGATATCCACAAATAATATTTTAGTCAACAGATATGGTTTCCAGGTGACTAAATGTTAGGACTCTAATAACACAAATGCTGATAGCTACTGTTGGGACTGGACCAGAAACAGGTCCGGTACGCTTCAGGTACGCAATGGCATCTCGGACTACTAAGCAAGCCTCTTATCAGTGTGACTAGCACACAACATGAACCCACCTTGGGCACAGCTGCCTGAAAACGGATGTTGGTGACAGGAATGGGGGCCGAGGACAGCATGGAGATGATCACCACCAGCACGTCTGGCCGTGATGGAGGACAGTCACGGGCAAAGGTGAACAAAACCCGGAGGCTGTGTTTGTCAAATACAGTCACTGGTAATAAGCTGCCTGAAACATATGTGCAGACACAAATGAAAACCCATCAAAATATGATGTGGAGATATAAAGAAAGAAAACTGCACCCATAAGCACAACCAGTGTCACTGTTGGGCGTGGTGTTATTGCTTGTGCTTACTAGGATTGATTGATTCCAGAGGCACAGTAACGTCAGTGAGGGAGATGTTGTCACAGGGGTCAGCAGCAAGTGATGAGCCTTTCTCAGCAGCTGTGAGACTGAGGTTAGAGAGGAGGAGAGTGTCAGGCTGCTCCGATTGGACGGCCAGGCTGGATGTGGGCCCTGGAACGGGAGCTAGACCAGAGGACGTGATGTTTGCAGGGGGAGCAGGTCTAGAGTTGGTGTTGGACTTGGTTTGGAGATCTCGTAAAGTGACTCTGGATTGATTCTGGATCTTATCCCTGCATGTAAAAGCAACATGATCAGTTGTGTAGAGGAACAGAAAACATGGACAGCTATTACAGTTACAAATGCCACCCATCAACAGGTATGTTACCACTGTTTCACTTCATGGTTATGAGAGGTCAGTGTATTAAACGTGTCACAGCCACACTTTCCTCCATCAGACAACTCTATGTTATTAACTCCACATCTTTCTATCCGTTTGCCTTACCATTTGACCTGCAGGCTTTCTGGAGGTAAGGACTGCTGCATCAATGTCTTCCCCAGCAAATCCAGCTCTTCCATGGCTTTAGGAGGAGCAGTAGTAGAGCTCCCCGCTGGTGGAGCCTGCTGTGTCTGGACCACAGCTGGGAGCAACACTGCAGCTGGTACAGATGGAGCAGATGATTCTGTGCTATCAGAGGACTGAGAAAACAGAGGGTTAGAGTTCCCGTTTCAGGACTGTATAGGGGAGGAGATTATGTTAATAGTTTTTAAAATGTACCAGTTTTTTTATGTGATTATAGCATATTTTGTTAGTATTTATTTGTAGAAGAGTGTTTTAAAACTTCCACTCCATGGCCCCAAAGTTACGAAATTTCAACTTTAACATGAGCATGTACAGAACTATCTTGCAACACGCACCTGGAAAGTGTTCTGGGAGTCGCAGTTTTCTGTTACATTCAGTCCTAAGAAAACAAAAACAACAAAAAGGTTCATTACATTTGATCCCTGTTTTTGGTGGTTAAAACAATAAAATGTAATGCTGCTTAAAAACGCTTTCCAACAAATCCCAAACACAATTAAAAAATAATGATAAAAAAAATAATAATAATAGTAATCACTGCCTATGTAAAAATTTGTGGAAAGTTTGGTTAAATACAAAGACTGAGAATGGCTTCTAGCTTTATTGTGGCCAGGTTTGGTCTGCCTCTAAGGATGCTGGGTCAACAGGACGGCTACACCCCAGCCAGTGGAAATAAGGTATAACTGTGCTGTGCAGACTAACACTGCTTATACTGCTAACTTAGCCTTTTTAAGATTGTTAGAAATGTTCAGAAGCCAGATGAGTTTCTTTGTCAGCACTGAGCTGTACTTACCCAGAGACATGAGTTCATCATCCAAGAGGCTGATACCCACGTTCTGAGTCAGGGTCTGTAGGCTGGAGGACTCTGTGTTGGGTGATGCATTAAGTCCCATCAGGTCTACAAGTGCTGAACTACTGCTGCCTGATTTGGACAGAAAATACCCATCAGCGATCATATAGTCTACAGGAATGTTTGGAGAATATGTTAAATCCATAAATACTGATGGATGCCAAATCACATGTACCTACCTGGTTGTGAGGGCATGGTTATGTCATCTTTTGTTACCTCCTCACCCTTTACCAGCTGTCTATACAGATTGATGACCTGTGTCAAGCTGTCATTGGCCTCTAAGATGTCCGCTGTAAGCAGAAAACTAATTAGCAATACCAAAGTGGTTTTCTAGTCTTATGCTCTGGAAAGGGTCTGATTACATGAAATCTGTAAAAGTCTTGTTCTTCCTTATATAATACCACATACTTCCTAACTTACCTAGGGCTTCATCATTATCCTCTGTATCACTTGCTAATCGGAATAGTGTAGGCCTCATCTTTTCACAGCGCTGGTAAAGATCCTGCAATTAGACCCATGTTAAAACACTAAAGCAACACTTCTACTGAGTCGTCCCAGCTGGATTATGAGACTATAGCTGAAGCAATGTTTTAAATGCGCTGAGCTGTGCTAACCTTAATGAGTTCCTGGTTGCTCTGGGAGCAGCTCTCCTTGCTGTAGCCCTCCAGCAGCTGGCTCAGCAGGCTAACACTCTCCTTCACCTCCTGGATGGCGTTCACTCGCTTTGATACCTTCTCCACTCGCTTCTGGTCCTAGAGGAAAAAAAAAAAAAAAAAAAAAGCATCTGATCTCACAGTGCCCGGAACCAATAGAAACATTCAAAATCTCTAAATCTAAAACTGAAGCATTTTTGCAGACCTTCATTTCCAGACTGCTTTTGTTCAGTGATGTGACAATATAGGGATGATTAAGGCTATATTACAGTTTAAGACTTGTCTTTATCACAGCATACACCCACAGTATTTGAGGTTGAGGCGTTTTTTTAATTAATTTAAATATAATTAATGTAATAATAATAAACTATAAATAATATAGAAACTGCAGCCGGATGTTTGATTTTTACCTGGATCAAAGCCTTGATTATTAATTGGATGTTCAGCTTCTCATATCCGTTGCCAAGTGTTGGAGGAGATTGATTACATAACTTAAAACAGAGTATTAATCACTATAAAAATCTAAATAATTAAATAGTTAAAAGGGCCTTCCGACTAGTATTCAGGGGCATTAATATCATAATGCTACATAATCAGGTGTATTTTATACAAATGGTGAGCAAACACACAGCACATACTGCACAGCACATTTAATTAACAAAACTGATGACTCACTTCCTGGACCATTTCCTTGATGAGTTTGTTTGCTGCTCTTAGATCTTCTGGGTGAGTGCTGTTCAATAAGCGCGACAGCATCTAGAAAAACAGGACAGGACAGAAGAGGGGGAGGAAAGAGGAGGGAAGCGAACTTGTAAACCATTGGTGCCTTAACAATTTTTGGAGGAGAGTTTCACGTCAGAAGGATTTGATGGGTAAAGAAGATTTTCATGGATCAGGAACAAAGATGATATGATTTGCAAGTCCTTCTCTTTGTAAACCTTCTTCATCATCACTCATACTTCATACCTTGGATTTCTCCTCATCCTCAAAGATGGCACTTTTGGCTCTGGGTGGAGGGGGTGGGAGGGGCTGGTCATCAGGAAGCACAGGATCCTGCTTGACAATACCTGGAAGAGAACAAGGACACATATTAACCTTATACATAAACAGCACAGCCCCTGTTTCATACATGTGCACTGTATAGTATATAGATCACAGAATCTCCATTACCTCTGACTCAGAGTACTGTGAGAGACACTGGCGCAGTAACACTGTACTTGACACAAAAAGGTAAACACAAACCAGTGTGGTACAGATGTGGTTTATACACAACCCTACATGAGGATTGACTGTACTGCAATAACTCTGGTTGGAAACTTTTTCTACATTCACCTAAGCATGACTAAGGACATTAGTCTCATGTTAGTGGCTCATCAGCATAAAAAGGAGAACTGATACCACTTTGTACAAAACACTATTTGTTAAAACAGGGAAAATATCAGGAACCAAAAAACACATTATCAGTGAAATATGATACAATAAAACACTGAACTGCAGATGGACTGTTATTATTATTTGTGGATGGTTTGCTAATCTGCACTGTGGGAGCTACTGGACACCTGAATTTCCTGAAGGCAATGTATGAAATGTGTGGGTAGTTGGTTGGTTAGTACCATCTATCCATCTATAGATGGAATAATACAACTTGTCGAAGTCCTTCAGCTTGATGGTTAGTCATGTTCTCAAACATCTGGAGCATTCACCTTGTTTTTTCAGCATCTGATATGCATCTGCTATCTTGGTCTCATCTGGCAGCTTCACCGTCCACCTGTACATTATTTCCAACACCTTCTTCTTCACTGGCTCTGGAGCCCGGGCACCTAAATACTGCAGGGATAGTGGGGGAAGGTATTAACAATTGTTAAAGAAAAATGTCTTTATTCTTTACGACATATTAATACTAAAAAATAACCATCTCCTAAACTGTTGCGACTTACTCTCTGGTTATCAATATTTTAGTTAAGTTAGATTAGGAGGGAAATCTCATGGTCACAGTCTTAGCTTCATGTTCCAACAAACTGGCAGCTTCACATTGTGAATTTCTGATGCTTGTGATGATTGATTCTGTTATCACACCTCCTCTTGGAACTATGCTGTGTGATCAAGAATACAGTTGCTGTTTCCACTATTTAATAAACCCCCACAAAAAAATCATTTTCATGGTTATATAGCTGTAGCCAAACTGATATGACAGCACACTGGACAACGGTCATTACCTTGGGTGAGACCACCTTGATGAGCTCATTGAGAAAGCGAAACTTTCCCACTTCATTATGAAATCGCTTTCCACAGTTCTTCATGCACGTCTCAAGAACCTGGGAATTGGTCAAAGTTTGCTGGTTTTACATTTCAGACAAGCCAGTTTTGATAATGACAAATGACATGTGCTGTGGCCTTTTGCCGGCCTTTGCACTTGTTAGCTACAAAACACAGAGACACAAGTGAAAATTTAACTTCAAGTTTTGATGGAAAGTGAACATGTTAATGCTGCACACAGTTCAGTCTCTTACTGTAAGCGCTTGCATAGCCTCCCACTCCTGAGGAGACTGGATTTTGTGGGCCAGAAGTCTGGTTGCAAGCTGAGGACTGAGGGATAAAAACAAAAGACTTTAACTGTCACTTTACTGACAGAAAATAAGATGTCAAGAATAATCCAATACAGAAAAACACTTTGTACTAACATACAAAAATTATTTTGCAACATGTGAGGCAAGGCACCCTTGAAATAAAAAAAAAAAACCCTGTGAGAGAACGGACAGGCTTAAAGTTCTAACGAAATATTACGTAGCTTATAGGTTGAATGTTTTGAGTTATAAAAGCTGTGAAACTTGATGTAAGCAAGTTGTTAAAATTCACAGTCCAGACATTGAGTATTTGGACAGGTTGCAGTTCAAAAAAACATACAAAAACAAAAGTTCCATGGACTGATGAAACACAAATCAACCTCTATCAAAGTGATGGAAAGAGTAAAGTGTGAAAGAAAAAAAAAAAAAGTAAACTCATAAGACAAAGCCACCACTTCATCTGTCATGCATGGTGGTGGTTTTGTTATGGCTCGGCCATGAATGGAACTGTCTCACTGGAATATATTGATGATTTCACTGCTGACTGAAGCAACATGATAAATGCACAGGTACAAACACTCTGAGCTCAAATGACCTTAGTAGCCTCCAAGGGAGGATACAAAGCATCTGCTGTTATATTTGGGTCAAAGACTTCAGGCAGTCATCAGGCAAAGGATCTTCCACAAAATATTAATGTGATGATTTTGTTTGACTTCATGTGGATCTGCCAATTATATTTGAAAGCCTAAACTTTGGGCATTGTGTTAAAAGGGCGATAACTCCCACACAGTTCTTTCTATGTGGTGTGGAAGATGTCTGTCCAATAATTATGGTCTGGACTGTAGCTCAACAACAGACATAGCGCAGGTGTTTGTGCATTTTGTTTAAGGCGAGAAACAGAACAGATATTCTGAAATAGTGTGATATTCATCACAACCATGATCTCACCCCTCTGGTTCATCGTTGAGCTGATCACAAAATCCCTTGATACTGTCCCAGTCATTCTCCTTATTCAGAGGATTGGTGGCTTTGTCTGTGTAAAAGAAAAACACATTAGACTAAAATTCTACATTTGCTCTATGTCCTGATTTGAAATCAGCTGCATGTGAGTGAACTTCTGCATTGACATTTGGCAAAAATGTTTAGATTTGTCAGATCTATCACACCTCTCAGACTGACACCAACGTTTCGCAGGTAGCGACAGTTCACAGACTGAGATTTTACAGGAGCAAAGTTCAGAATTAAGTGTCGGGAAAACTGAACGCTTGTGATCCCTGTCAGCAGCTATAGCCTCTGGTTGTTTGCAGTATGCAAACGATCAGTTCTCTGGTTTGAAGTAGATGAAGAGAGTTGCTCGTGTTTGCATTAAATGTGTGACTGAATCATGAGGTTACTGCAGAAGCGGCTGGTTCCTGGTTTGGGTGTCGCTTTCATTCAGCTGACATGTCTTGATCAGCAGCTAACTAGCTAATTGATTTGTTAGCATTCAGCTGGGCATTACTCGGATTTTCAAAATTAAATGTCATGACAACTATCAGCACTGAACATAATGTGGGCTCATAATGCAAGGACATTACAGCAAATATGATGCATTATCCGAATGAGCTTGTTCCTTAACGCCAACTGCACTTTTTGATTTGATGACATTCGCTCTCTTGACTCTCAAAAAAAATATTCCCCAGAGAGAGCAGTATGGCCGACAACGGCAAATTCAAACTGACAATATATCTCTCTATCTCTGAACAGTGTCTCGGCTATCGCTTTAAGTTCAAATGATAAGATGGTATTGTAATGTATGGTGACTTACTGATTCGAGACTGCAGGCTAACCTCATCTGGAGGCGCCGCCGCCATCTTTCGGGAATAAACAAGTGGTCAGCATCGCGTGATTTTGTAACATATCGCGCGAATGGACGCCGGGGCAGCGGCTCTGTAGCTCCCCCAGTTGGACGCGAAGGGAAACAACAACATGACATTGGGTACGGTGGCAGGCACGCTGCCAATCGATGCAGCTAACATGGCTTGTCACTGGCACCAAGCAGGTTTGATCAACATTAATTGCCTAGGATGTGTTTTTTACAGTTAATTTTCTTGTCGCAAAGAGGGCGACAGGAGCAGTGCGCGGTGTAACGGACCTTTTAACCAGTGTTTTAACAGCCGTTGTTGCAGTCATTGCACCAACCAAAAACCGTGTTGTGGTCCATCTCAAGGAGGAAACTATCACCTCTGTCTCCTCGCCAAACTGCATCACGAAAGACTATTCTCACGGTGCCAGCGCCCACCAAAACAGACAAACCTGCAAACTGCCTACAGGAGCTAACAGCGGGATACCTGAGCTGGTTAACATTAGCTAACTTGGCTACGTCAAGAACTTTGTTGGCAAGCTACCGTCATCTGCTCTGGATATCAGCCGTGTTTTAACCGGGTGGCTCTGGTCAAAGTTCCAGTTTAGATGTTGTAACGTTATTCGCTGCCTGGAAAACTCGGTGCAGGAGATAAAGCGGGGGCATAATGCTTGTTGTAGTTGCAAAAGTTAGCTAACATCTAGCTAGCAAGCCGTGCTAGTCTTTTTAACGTGACTCACTGGCTGTAGATGAATGTAACGAATCGTAACATCGGGTGTTGCCTGCCTGTCGCCCCTTCACTGAAACGCTGGCGATGACTCGCCTATGACTGAAGAAAAGACTTTGCATTGTCTCCTGCCACGCCGGGGACAAAAAAACGTCGAGTTTATTTGACAAGAATACTTCGATTTCTGTGACAGCAGTATGATGGGATCCCTGAAGGCTCTCCAGGAGTGGTGTCGGATACAGTGTGAAAATTACAACGATGTGGAAATAAAGGACATGTCAACGTCCTTTCGGGACGGTTTGGCATTTTGTGCCATAATACATCGTTACAGACCAGATTTAATGTAAGTAGCCAGCAGTCTAACAATGTAACATTGCTACTAACTAACGTGACAGGCCGTTGCAATCGAGAAATCACTTAACAATAGTTTTATTGCTATTATAAACTGGTTTTGGAAATAGCATCTGGCTCCAGTCAAAGACGGACACATCTCTTTGAGGAGTGACAGGCTGCTAACTGTTGTCTTTGAATTTGTATTCCATGTTAATCCATTCAGGATACGATTGCAGAACATACTTAGTAGCCAGGAATTTATCTACCCTAGATTATTCTGTGAAAAGTTTTATAAGGACTGTGATTATGTAAAGCACCAGTAAACAAAGACTACAGTTTTTTCTTTTTTGAATAAATTTTAAGTATAAAGCTTCGACATTAGCATGGCTGAATATGATTATATTAGTTGTTATATAACTTTTGCTGCAAAAAACATGCCATTTGTGTTATATTGGTCAAAACTGTATGTTTTAATATGTTTCTGTGTATGTTATATCATAGCCAAAATCACCAGTAATAATATTTTTATGAGACAGTGAGAGGCCAGTGTGCTGTAATTAATTCAGGCTGACAAGCCATACCCCCTCTGTAACAACACACCCCTCCTCTCTTCATTTTACACCTACTCACACAGTACAGAAGCAACCACAAAGTACAGCAGCAGTGTCAGTGTGAGTTAAAATGGCTATTATAGGCATGAGGAAGTGATGACTTTCTATTGTCTTGGTATAGACCAAAAACAGAAAATATCATATCTTACTCACTTATAAATTCTGAGCTGGTAGCTTGCTTACAGTTGATAAGTGTGTTCATTCAGCCTTGATCATGCTAAAAGTACAAATTGTGTTATTTATTTGACAACCTACCTATTTCTTTTGGAACTTACCTCTCAAATGAGGGGACCATCGTCACCATCAAATAATTGGATCATTTTTTTATTATTATTATTATTATTATTTTGGGCCTTTTATGCCTTTATAGACAGTGCAGTAGAGAGAAACAGGAAACAGGGAGGCAGAGAGAGGGGGAATGACATGCAGCAAAGGGCTGACTCGAACCGGGGCCAACTGCAGCGACGACCTTAGCCTCTGCATATGGGGCGGATGCTCAACCAACTGAGCTACTCGACGCCCCAATTGGATCATTTTGATTTGAAAAGTTTCTAGTATTTGCAGTGTGACAGTAAACATTAACAGAAACTCGGACATTCATATGACTCACATTGGAAATGCATCTCTGTGGAAAAGCACAAGTCCCATGTAGCTGAATGGGGCCTGTGTAGCTAAGTGGGTAGAGCAGGCTGTTGACAGCATCAGGATTAGTGGTTTGATTCCTACTGAAACAAGTCGGTGACCCTTGTTGTTGTACAAGGATTGTGTAAAAGCATCTGCTAAATGACATGTTATGTCCCTCCTCTGTCCTGGAGGAAAATGTGGTCTGATAGAATGATTTTAGACAGTAGGTATCTTGCTCATGCTGTTCACCTCTCAGGTGGTCCAGACTTTTGTGAGCAAATTGGACTATGCTTGGATGGCAGCAGAGCAAACATTCACTGGAGCAATCACTGGAGGACAAGTCAGTGAAGTGGAATATATCTGCATACACATCACAGCAGTAAGACTCAAAGTATGACAGTGGAGAAAATCCTAAACACACAACCTTTTGAGATTTGTCTCTCCAATTTGTGTCCCAGCATGCGTCCGTCTTCAGCCCTGCGTGTAGACGCATTGGCCGAGCCAAAGTGCTCTGATCCAGACAGACAGTCCGTCAGGCTAATCTGCAGCTGAGACCTCCGCCTGTCAAACTGGATTTAACTCTAATGCTGGGCCAGGCCAATGTAGAGCCACCCTGCACTCATTGCAGCCAATGTATTCTCATCAAAATACATCACCCTGATCCAGAGGAGAGACGTAAGCACAGCAAATGGCCTCATCTTAGTTTCCTCAGCCGAGACCAGCGGTCACTCAGCTCTCTGAAGAGGGATTAGATATGGCTGCAAGAAATCATCAGTGGCCTAGTTATCCAAACTGCATGAGACAGCACAGTCAAAATTGAATTTAAATTCAGTTGTGTTCATATAACGCTCCTGATCAAACTGTCATGCAATTTAGCAGTGCACACACTCAGATCACCTATTTTGTTTTGCTGCTTTGTTTTTTTGTCCTCTCTGAATTGAAACAACTCCTCTACTGAAATTACTGATTATAGATATAAATTTCATTTTTGACTGTCACAACAGTACTAAATCCCAATCCTCCTTACTGAAGCACAAACTTTTCCATCTGACTGAACCAGATCTAGCAGATATACTGGTTCATCCAGGTTTTCATCATGTGGATTTTAAATGCCTGACACACTCACATACACACACACAGACACACCGTTCCTCAGCAGTCCTCTTTCCCAAAATAAACCTTGGAGCGAGACTCTGACTCACAGTGGATTAGGTTCGCAACTCAAATCACACACAGCCCTCCATCATCCGTGTCAGTGTCGGCTGGCACTGTCTGTTCTGTGAGGGGCAAATTTAAACTCCCAACAACAGTTTTGACAGTATTTTTTTTAAGGTTCCATCTGGCTATGTTGGCAGACCTGCCCCAGTGGACTTGTTTTGACATGATCTTGATATTAGAGGTGCTGCTCAGTGTGTGTTTGTGACCATGGGAACTAGATTAGAGAGAACAGAGGTCACTTTGTGTGGCTCCAACACGGAGCTCATTCACAGGGTTTTGCCGTGTTGAGAGTTCCGCATGGTCTCCACAAGCTCTCACCAGGGTCGATGTGTTGTTTTTTCCACCATACTGTTGTCCTTCTGCTAGACACTTGAGTCAACATAAATTTACTTTATACACACAACCACACTTTCATCCCAGAACACCTCAGACATTTTCTAGTTTTACTGCAGGATGTTTACTGGTGAGAGACCAGCTTTAGTTCCTCGCTCCAGGCATTTCAGAGCACAGCCTTGTAATTATCAGCCCATTGCTCCCGTTTAGTGCAGCTACTTCTTTCCTTTTGTCCTGGCAGGTTTTCACATCAGACATTATTTATGTGTGGTTTGGGATCAATTGTCTGCAGCGGTAGCTGGGGAGCTTAGCTGAACACCACGTCTGCCTATCTTGCTGTCAAACCAATAATAGCTTTTTGATGGTTCATAGCATAGCTGGAAATAGGCCAGCAAGCTATATACAGTTCTGTACTGTAATAGCATGGCATGGACAGTTACTTCTTTATGATCTTCAGTATGATCTCTGTTCTAAAAGGAGGCACCATGAGTTGCAGTTGTCGCAGGCTATATAAATGTACACACTGGCTACCTGCATGCTCAGCCTTGTCTCACATGTTGTTTTGAATTTTAACATTTATCCTCTTGTCATTCCAGAAACTTTGGCTTACTGTCTAAAGAGAATGTCTACGAGAACAACCGACTGGTGAGTCAGTTTTACAGCTGTGTGTTTCGAGGTTAAATCATTCCTCTGATGTTTTGTTGTATGGTGATGTCAGTGTGGCGGTTGGCCGTTAGAGGGAGGGTGAGTTTAATCACCTGTGAGCTAATTTTTATCTGTCACTTCCATCTGTTACTGCATGTGCTTCATTCAGCCGCAAAATTATTAAGCTTTATAATTGCATGCAGTCATGGTGGGTGTGGCTTCAGTGTATTTGACTGTCTGTGTGGAGAGAAGTGTTACTTAATCCTGATGGACCCTGATGAGGGCAAAGAGGGAGGGAGCCAGAGCTTTCAGCATCCAAAAAGAATTTTTTTTTAAAAAAAAAAGAAGAAAATCCTTGACATAAGCCTGTCCAGAGGACCATGTAGAGAGGATTTTGAGTGTGGAAGTGCTGAACTTGCAGCTTTATATTATAAGTATAACGAATCCAAGAAATTTTTTTTATTGTATTTTCCTCGTTGGGTTTTTCCACATCATCTGTAAGCCAACAGAACATTGAGGGATGAAGTG